ATCCACACAGCTGCTACATGCAGCCGGTTAACAAACTGGAGAACGGTGAAGGTGCCGAAGGTGAGAGCACGAGAAATTCGCACCGACATCGACTACTGACCCTTATTCGAGTGCGCCCGCAGTGAGTCGCCATTCCAATGAGTCGGGTTAAGCTCGGGTCCTAGTAGGACTGCGGCGGATAAAACTATATCTATCGGCTCGTTTAGGTGTATCGCCAGCGTCTATCGATCTGCAGCGGAAACGTGCTGTTGCATCCGCCGTTGGTGGCGCGGTTGGGTCGAGGCTTCTCATCGGCTGTGCTAGAGGATACACGAACTCGCGAGTAGCAGACACCGAAAGGAAGTGAGACTCCACCATGTTACGGTATTGCATCTTACGCTCTTTAGAGTTCTCTTGGCTGCTGCTGGCCTCACCGGCAGTGTCATCGGCAGCCTTGCTGCAAAGTGGATAGTTGATCTACAATTCGAAGCCGCTCAGAATCGACGAGTCATGAAAGTCTCAGGTTAGTTGAACATTTTTGATCTGCCCTAAAAACCATAAACCAGCCATGTGATGCTTGATTGAGTACTTCCTCGTTTGTATAAACTTGAGAGAAGGCGTTTCTGCATTATCGCGGTGTTGCGTTCATCGGCTGACTTGGTACGCTCGTGCCCGTTCTACTACAGCATTTCCAGGTCAGTTCCCAAAAACATAGCAATCGGGCAGGGAATCGTCAGAGACTAAGTGACTTTTGAAATGATCTAACGAGTGTGGGACATCCTAAATTCGGTGAATTGCGGCTTGCGTTGAGATCAATATAATTGGATCGGTTACGGATCCGTCTCGCATAGTCAAAACGGAGATAGTTTCGACTGATCAACTCATTAACTAGACGATAACTGTTTAGTTCCTAGAAAGTCCAGTATTTGGTAAAAGTTTTGGATAATTCACTGAATTCAGTCGGTAAACGGTTAGAAGAGGGTATATTCTCAGAAGCGAGTGAATTATTGATCATTCGGGCAGAATTTTAAATCGATCTGGGAATGCGGTAGTTTTTGTCTGCCGCTCTCTTGGGTCGATAAGTTTTGTCATGTCCTTGCGACTTCCCTGCAGCATAACTTTGGCTGGTCTTCAATGTGAAATTGCACGAATTTCTCATGTTAAAAGCGCTCTTGTCGGTGATGGGATTCGCTATTTAGTCGACAGTTTGTGTCAATCTGTGGACGTTCAGTTGTCCTAAGATTGATGGAGATTCAGCGACATCAGCTCATCACCAGGAAGTATGGTAATGGTATTGTTCAAATGTCTGAGGATACCCCTTGTTAATATACATCCATCTTCTCCTTGAAAACCCGAAGGTCTATGAGGCTCATTTGCATGTCTTGTCCGTTGGTGTGTTATTGTATGACGCTCTGCCCTACCCGGTGCACCACAGTTTTCACAGGCCGGATTTGTTTCCGACCTGGTCGGTATCTTTATATCATCCACATCATGGTAACTACTTTCTCAGTACTCTCTGGAGCGGTTCAGGTGTTGGTCAACATCGCCGTACAGCACTTCACCCCGTTGCCGATGGTCTCCACCAAACACCCCCTATCTCGATACATTGACAATCTCATCGTTACTTATTTGCTCATCGAAGAACACAGTGGGTAGGATGGTCATAGGGCGTGGCCTTGGATATTTGGGGGATCCTTGAGGCATCAATTGCATCATCATCACAGCGGTTCGGTTAATTTTCATCAATTTCGCAAATATATGGATAATGCATTTGGATAGGCTTCAGATGTTGGAGCGAAAAGCAGCACTCATTAGGTGTCAGCTGAGGCCGTATGACTTCAAGTCTGTTAAAATCACTTTCAGTTCATTGCTTTTCTGGTGTTTCGTTTCACAGTGTATGACGCTTGAAGCTGTCTCGAAAACGCCGTCGGCGAATTCGAAATACTGATCTGAAACATTGTTGGGTCGCTGGGAATGAGCAACGTATGGATATGCATGATACGTCTACTGTCGTAGCTTGATTCGCTTTTAGCAAATAAAGTTATCGAATCATTCGGCCCAACGCAGTGAACACAACATCAATAGATGTAGGAGCAGATACAGTTACCTTTCGAGTTCGGAATGTAATCCTCTACCATTAAAATTATTGATCGCTTGCTCGCAGCGCGGAAACCAGATGAACTGGTAGGCTTGATGGTATTTCCGCTGGTCTGATGGATGAAGGATGCATGATAGCTCGAACACAACAACACTGAATGGATAAATCGACATCGTTCAGACTGAGCACAGGCGATCCGGCCGCAACTGGTGAGGAAGATTGATAAGCAGTAGTCGACACTTGTTATATCCGAGACAACTCAGTCAGCGGTACCGCGTATTGCTGCAAGAACCGAATAAGTTCAAGCATAGATCTGGGTGGGCTCACCCAATGGTTGAGACCCTGAGGGTCGGGGCCGCCAGTGGCGATGGGCATTCGAGTATCCTCCATGAGATGGTCGATAGCGACTAGACAACGGCGTGGTGTTGAAGAATTGGCCAGGGACTGAGGAAATCTCACTTATGCGGGAGTTTCTAGACACCACACATGATAATATCAGACAGCCTTACCCCAGCCTGTTATGAAGTATGTAATGATCGTATTCCGGCGAGTAGGAGCTACGATGTCGACTATGAAATCTCGAGCTGGTGGAGGCGATGCGAGAGGCGGTGACATTGGATGAACATACTGAAGGACCATCCAGCCATAGTCGCTGCCCGGTCGCTGCCTGCACTTGCATATCAGTTGGCACAGCGGGAATGTAATCGTATGACTATCAGTCCACAATTAGGAGTCCCTGTGCTTTTCTCATCACAGCGCGACCCTTCTCCCAAGTCGCGAAGTCATAGTAGGTACATCGTAATTACTAACTTAGCAGAGTAATCTCGAAACGATTGGAAAAGAGGCATCCCAAAGAAGGGCATAACCTCCATACTTTGCTGAGTTGGATTATGAACAGTGATATGTTCTGAACGAATCTACCAGGACGTCGTAACAACTCGAATCACCAGCTCGATAGGAGAAACTCAAGGTGTGGAATGTGATAAAGTAAGTTTCCATAAATCGATAGCTGGATGAACGTAACCCTCCATCTCCGGCCACTCGTCAATCGGCATTTCCTCGCCGTCCCAACCCGCGGCTATCAGGCCTTCCACGAGGAGCTCGTCTACGTCGTCATGCCGATGCTTATGCGTCATGAACCTACACACAGTCTCGATTGCTTTAGTTTATCGAACTCACATGCAAACGTCCATCTTCAACTTCGGCCGCAACGCGATCAGTACGTCAAGGAACAACTGCACACCATCGACATTATAGACAACATCACTTGCAATGACGAGGTCAATCGAGTCGTCCTCTACCCAACCGAGATCCGGTGAGGCCCAGTCGAGCGCATGCCACTCCCTAGCTTGACACGATTCCACAGCTTCCGGCAGGTCTGTCGCTACCACTCTTTCCACCGTGTCCTCTATCGCCATTGACGGAGCACCAAAGCCACACCCGAGCTCGATAGCAAAATGCTTGTCGGACACCTCCTTAGTGAATGAGAGGAAACGTGCCATGACTATCGCGCACTCCCACAGTCTCGCACACGGGCCGTGGATTTCAGTGGTCACTTGGCGGAAGTCCAGAAGGCGGCCGCCGACCAACTCGACTTGTTCATTCTCGAGACTTTCAGTGAGGACATCGTGGCTCGCACTCAGACTCGTTGTGCAGTCTATGTACGGCATCAGAATGCCATAAAGAGAATCGAAACACCGATGAATGAAATCCCCATCGTGCGTGAACCCAACAGTCGACCAAATCACATTGAAATCATGACCAGGAAGTCACGCGTCAAGACTACTGCTTTCCATCCCAGAAGACTCCTCCTCAGTAGCATCCTCGTTATCATCGCTGCCCTCAGGCCCCCACTCTTCTGATACCTCGCTGTACCTGATCCGGAGCATCATCATTCCAGCACGTACACAAACCCTTTACTCTTCGTTCATGTTATTCGCCACATTCGACATGCGGTTGAGCAGGTCAGCGATTTTCTCCAGCGTACTTTGGAGCTGAAACGCCCAATCTTGGCATGGACCAACTCTCAAACATCACCATGGATGGCCACGTGTCCGACAGTTTCGCAGCGGAAGGCTTACTACGAGCTCCAAGGCTCACAAGCATACCCTGAGATAAAGCAGTAATGCCCTCTCGTTTCCAGCTCCGGACTTGAGTTTGCTCCTCAATGGCAGTCGACAGCGCATCGAATTCATCTACTGCTTGTTCGCCTAACGCCCTTGCGCGTTGCAGACCTTCGGCTAGGGCCCCTTCTCCTGTTCGCGCAGCCGCCGTGTCAGCCGCTGGCGTGCCTGTGGGCGCCCTTGTTGGTGACGATATCACGGTGGACAACCACTGTACTCAAAGTCCCTACGATGCTTCTGAACTTGCCAACAAAGTCAAAGACATCTGTGACTCGTAGCCGGTCACTATCCAACACCTGAGCACGGCTCACCACACGTCGATGGCCTCAGCCGTTGCCTTGTTGAGCTCGTCCTCGAACTGTAGCAACGATGGTCGCCGATCCCGCAGCTGTTGGACTAGGTATTCTATCAAAGACACGTTTTCTCCCTCGATGTTCACGAGGTCGAATACAACTGATAACCTGAAGTATCGAGCCACTCCAGCGTTGGGATGTATGTCCGCTTCTCTCATTCGGCTACGAGTGTACAGAATCACAGCAATTTCCTCAGAATTTTCATATCGTCACCAACACATGTAGTTGGCCATGTGCGTATTTTCCCCCCACACTGCTCATTTTACTTCAATCCTTGGGCAGCAGCACCTCGTTCACCTCCGTCACTCTTGAGGGCTCGGCCCACCTTCACAATGACCTTTTAAAACCCGGAAGTGCCACCACGTAGTGACAACTCCAACCTGGAGTATAGTCGAGAGTTTCTGACTCTCCCTCAACTGTCGCGTCGCCTCAAGGATCAGTTTCAAATCCTCAAGAACTCGGTCTTTCTCCTGGCTCGTGCAGAAATAGTTAACATACCTTCGTCGAGGTACATCAACAGCGTCTATCGACAAAACCTTACATGCAGTGTAACCGCAACTCGATCGTCGAGGACAAGTCCCGGACTGCAGTGCCGTAGTCCAGCAGCGCGGGGTGGGCACGAGCTAGCTGTAAGTCCCGACCCAAGGGAGAGCACCATGCATCTGTATCCCACATAGAGCTACATAATACGGGGTCATCAAGAGACCTATCCGGGCAGCGCTATGCTATCGGATAGTGCCGATACTGCAGCTTACAAGAATAGGAAGACTTCATACCAGTCGTCTTGAGACAGCTGCTCAGCACCTTGCTGTATGTACTCTTCCAGACGGCTAAGATGTCGACCCAGATCCCAATTGATGCTGTCCATCGGGACCGTGCACCTTGTAGTAGATAACCACTAGCCGTGAGTACCACAACTCACTCGAAATAGCCAACTAGTTGGCCCTTCGAATCTAACGCGTCCACTCCGACGTTATTAACGCCGAGCCGGACTTTAGCAACCGTCAGAGTTCCTTTCACATCTCCTGCTCGGTTCGATAAAGGACCTTTTAACCGAGTCGAAGTCGTGGCTTTGACTCGGTTGAATACCATGCAACGTAGTGACAAGGCATGGGTTCACAACCATTGCTGCCGCCTCTCCCACTCGTACTGGTGTACCCTCCTGTTTCATCAGAGGCAACACTGGTCTCGGCCGACCAGACGATCGGAACTGCAGATGGTCAACTAAGTTGATGCCCGCACGAACTCACGTCTATAGGCCAAACGGGAGAGCCAGAAGCATCAATCTGTGGTAGCGGTATCTCGTGGGCTGTGAACAATGCAGCCGCAGCAGGGTTGAGTACCCAGCCCTCGCCGTTCGGCGCTGGCAACTGTACTACGGGGAGCTCTATCGACTCACGGTGAGCTCCTAAGAGCAATGCAAGTAACGGACTTTGATCGACTTTCTACCAGAGTCTGCCGAGTCGTTTTCCTTTCCTAAATCTGCGCCCACTTTTAGCGACAGATCCGCCGTAATGCGTTTCGCTTTCTCTACCGCCTATACGCCACAGCTCGGTAAGACTCGTCTCGCGCAAAGTGGATTGACCTCTGTCGCCAGCACACTATCAGTGTGTTTCGGACCAAGTTCCCTGATTCTAGTGGTCTGAGCTGCAACTAGGAACCCCAGGGCGGATTTCGACGGCGGTTGCTGCTGGGCACACAACGCCAAACCGAGACTGTATCTGTTACTGGGGTATCGACGAATTGCACTCCTAGTGGGGAAAATATGCACATGGTCAACTAAATGTGTTGGTGAAAATATGAAAATTGTGAGAAAATTCTTGGGAAATTCTTGTTGGTTTCTGTACACTTCTACCGGAATTCATATATAAACTCTTGTTATTAGTGAAGAAACTCCTGAGTTCCGCTGAGGAAAGCGAACATATATTCCAACGCTGCACCCCGCGACACTGTGGGAAAACGTTGGTGATGACAATACGAAAATTCTTGGAGGAAATTTTGGGGGAAATTTTCATTGATTCCTGTACATTTCTACACGGATTCGTATATTAAGGTGCATATTTAGCGAGGAAACTCTCAACCTTAGCTGAGGAAATCAAACACATATTCCAACGCTGCACCCTGCGATGCCCGAATACTTCACATCGGCTACTGGCAGGCTATCAACCCCAAAGATGGCCTCTCGTATGGCCAGCGCCTTGTGGAGATGCTGCACCGCGAGGCCAGGGTCTGAGTGCAGTGTAACTCAGTATACGACTAAGTCTCAGATAACCCTGCAAGCATCTCGCCAGTAGTGCAACGTTGCAGTGACTGTCCGCAACGTGTAGGCTCGGATACGGCAGAAGTTTCTCTCGAATGACCAAGCACTTCCGAGCTAGAATCTTGATGGAATGTTAGGTCGTTTACAAGAGTCGATCACAACTCACGAGAGCTTCCGACAGGTGTTCGTTGGTTTGTCCTGATTTACCACCACCTCGTTTGAGTTGAAAGCAAGCAACCTGGTCGGAAATCATGGACCGAGCCTGCCTAAGTCGGTCAAGCTCACCAAGTTGAAGGCGTCCCCAGCAGCGAGACTCTCCGCACCGAACCCTCGAGTTACTGTCGTTATATACCTGGTCTGGGTCGAGTAGCAAATGCCTCGGCAAAGTAGCTACTTTTGATAGTAGGCCTCGGCTTCTGAGTGTTTACCGTACATCTCACATATCTCAGCTATGTTGCATTCTAGACTCGCCCGAACATGTAAAGGCAGATTGGCCATCGAGGCCGCCCTTTCGCCGTCGCCCACCGGGTACTGATGTGATTCTTAACGCTCAGCAGAGGTGTGTGCGGAGGGCCGATGGAATCGAACCAAACAAAGCTCAGAGGCAACAGTAGTTTGAAAGAAGTCATCCCAAGGCCCACCTACCGCGATCGTCAGGCTATTGACGAATCCCGCTCCCAAGTCGTGCTGATTGCTCGCCGCATATGCACGCGACAACAGGAGGAGCTCAACTAGAGCTGCCTCTGGTGAGTCCACCGCCCCAGCTGTGCCACGAAGCGCTTGTTTAGCATTCACAATAGCATCGTCGTATCTAAGACCTCTTCAGGTAACACACCAACAATGTACGAGAATACCTCGCATTTCGGAAGGCCAGAACTGCAGCAATACGATGACTGCGTCTCAAGTTCCCCGAGCTCATACCATTTTCAGACGTCAGAGTTTCCCGGTCGCCTGAAACGGATCGGACTAAGTCGGGCCTCTCCGCCGCTGTCTACTTGGATCCCGAGAAGCCCCTCGGTACTCGACATCCCAATAGCTTTGCATCAGAGCAGCGATATCTATCTCACCGGAACCCGCGGGGTCCATAGCTTCGAACAGCTCATATGGGGCCACCTGAACAGTGTTGAAATTCATATCCGCTTTGCTCACCGGAGCTCAGGAGATTCCACACTAACTATAGAAGAATATACACGAGTTAGGGTAGGAGGGTACAGAAACCAACGTTCCTCCATGTGCATATTCACCCACACTACACCAGCATGAAACACTTCTCGAGCAATGATCGGCATGGGAAGACATGGGTGACATTTGTGGAAACTCTGAGAAAATCATCATTGGTTTCTGTACGCTTTCACCCGAATTTGTATGTAAACTTCTATGATTAGTGAGGAAACTTCTAGACTCAGCTGAGGAATACGAACATTTATTCCAACACTGGCAATGATAGTCTCATCGCAATGATCCAACATGGACAAAGCTCACCCCTGGCGGGAGAACGGTCTGTCGACCCGGAATGTCGCCAGGGCGCATCATCGCTATCGTATTTTTGAACTCCTCGAGATTCATCTTCCCATCATAGTGATGTTTAAACCACTCAAAAGCTGCTCTAAAGGAGCCGAATCGCTGCAGCAATCCATAACGGAGAACCTATCATTGCTCCTATTTAGCGATGGACGATAAGTCCTCATACCAGTAAGACTTGGTCAACTCCGATGACAGGAGACTTCACAGGAATCTGTCCCGTTTCACGAGCTGGTCGCTCTACAACAGAACCCGACCGACTCCCAGTAGAAGATTTAACCGACGACCGCGACACGCTCTTCCTTCCAGCCTTTGAGACTGACTGTCGCTTTGCTATCACACCCTTAGGAAAAGCTGAACTTGATGAGCATAAGAGTTTTCTTGCTACCTTACACTCAACTCCATGGCCTCGTTGCCAGTCGATCCTCTGGCACTCAGCCCCACAGTAGTACGCCTGCTCACACAGCTGACAGCAAAGCGTGGTACCTGCTGACGTGGTCTTCTCGGGATGGAGAACTCACAGTGACTGTCCTCACTTGTGCCACAAACTTTGCACTTATACTCAACGTTGGAGTCGGCCATGCTCAAGAAAACACTGAACTCGCATCATACAAGGTGAATTCCCATACACACAATCGACTTGCTCAAGAAGACGCTGAACTCGCATCATACAAGGCAAATTCCCATACACATAGTCCAGCCGCCCTGTGCGCTTAGAACTATGATCGATGCGTTGTACCGTCAACGGTCAGGATACATCGGGTTCAGGGTGTTGCCAAACTGACGGGTATCCTGACTAATATCATTCCTAATCTTATCCTAATCTTGTGTTGCCCTTCTTGTCGGTCGCAGCAAACGTATTCTCGACCAGAAGTAGCAGGGAAGCGCACCAGGATCACCAAGAAGAAAAACATGTGAGTACATAACGTTTGCGCCCTCAGCAAGTCTATTGACTAATACTGCTTTCTCCGAGTCGCTCAGGAGTTGTTTCTGTGGCATTGTTATTTGAGCTGCTTAGTTGCACGGTTCTGGGTGGTGATTTTTCCGTTCACCCTCATATCTCAGTAACGGTTCCGAATATTACAGTTTCATTCCAATGTGTAATAGCTAATCATTATATCTATACGCTGTTGAAGTTTCAGCTCAAAATTCTCATCCACTAACGAGAAACACAGATTTTTCGGAAAAAAAAGAAAAATAGAAAAAAAAATCGAGAAAAGAATTCAAAATTTTTCGAGAAAAAAAATCGCTCCTTGGATACCCGTGATCTTCTTCCCATTCCCGGCTCGCAGTCTATCAAACCATGACCAGAGACTGAGAAGCCCAGGAGCTCCCATAAAATCAAGATGGTCAGTGTGCGAATAAGCGTTTTCTCAGCATACCACTCTTTCTCGGAATAGACGACCAACGAACGGTATGTGAGGAAAAAGCCGCCATGGGAATTCAATGATCCAGAATCGCCTACTTGCTTGATCGAGGATTCTGTAATACTCGGCAAGGAGAACACATCAATGGTCATCAAATCCAGCCGCCCACACGAATAGCCGTAAAGCCAAGCGAGTCACCTCCACTGTGTACTTCCGATTCAGGAGCTGTGTCTGAGTCCAACTTAGCTCACCGAAAGTGGCTCTCAGAGATTAATGTTCACTTCCGGCGAAATCGACCACGGAGCCCACTCGAGCGTCACCACCCATCACCACATCAGCATCGACCTATCTAACCAAGAGATTCTGATTCGGTAACATGGTGGTAGAAACCCTGGAAGACTCCTAGGAGTAAACGAAGCAGATCAGCCCGCTGTATTACCAACGAAAATCTATTAACCGTCCAGGGGGTTTACGCAAACACCATGTACACTACTCCTACATCGATTCCAGCGACTTCGAGCTCCCCGTTTGCAGTCAGCCATTCGAGACGGGCTAACATTATAAGAATACACTACAGAGCTATCTGAAATCGATAACTCAACCTCCCGAAAAAAACTTGAAAAAAAGGAAAAGTAGACTATTCAGCGAGCGTCGTCTCCTTCTCATCAGTTTTCTTCGAGTCCTCAGCTGTAGCTTTCTCCGTGAGATACGCCTGGTATCTGCAAATACACACATAAACTCGATAAAGTGAAAACTCATGCCTACACTAGAACAGCGAAAGCTGCATCAATAACGAGGTCACTGAGGTTCCAAGCCAGATAGTAGTTGCTCCAATGCTCAGGATAGCCGCCACTGATACTAACATAGTCGACCACAGCGCCCAGCAAAATCCGATCGAGTCCGTTCCTGCACGCAAAAGCATTACACTCCACTGGTCTTGCGGCATAACCCACCCAACAGCGCCACACATAAAAAGGAACATTCCGAGTTTGTTGCGCCAGCTCACATCCTTCTTACAGAAGAAGTACACAAACCCAGCCACCACTAGGAAAACCGAGCTGGCCATCAGGAATCGGTAAACATCGCGATTAAGCCGACGCGCGAAACTGAAAATCACCAACAATGTCGTTCCAGATGAAGTCACAAGTTCACCTGAAAGCCGAATGGCGATTTTCCGTGTAAGTGATGTCGAAGGTGACCACTGGTGCGAAACTGAAACACGTCATTTCTCATACCTCACTAAAGCGAATTCGTACATGTCCGTGATGAGCTTCTGAGGACGGTAAACATGCGCGAGATACTTTAATGAGAATTCCAGGGCTAAGAACAGGCCGCCAGCAATCCACCATTTACACGGGTAACCGAAACCAGCAGCATCGCTCGTGTCATTGACCTCGGCAGCACCTGAGCATCTTTCAAGACTAGAAGACTGTCTCGGTACTGTGGACATTTTCCAAAAAGCCGCGGGGACTCGAGAGGACCGCTCACCATGCTCGACAGGTCTCCAATGGCAAGAGAAATGTTCATGCATAATAGTGATTCCCAACCGTAAGCAGTGTTGGAATATATCTTTGGTTTTCTCAGCTGAGCTCAGAAGTTCGCTAGTTGCATAATGGAATTCAGCTTCAAGGTAGTAGTATGCAAAAACCAACGATACTTTACCAAAATTCCATCACAATTTCCATATTGTCACCAACACACATAGTTGACCAAACACGCATTGTCCCTACACTTAAACAAAGGACCAGCAAGTTGATTCGCCACCCGTCAAATTGTCGCTGACAGCAACGGAGCCGAGAGAGTCAAGAACATTCAACTAGAAATGATTTCAGTATGAGACTACTACCTGCCGGACTGCCATCGACTTGTCCCTCAGAAGTTTCCACTGGACCCTCAGCACGACGGCGCAGAGTCGAGTCGTCTGCGGTAGGCATCTCTGAACAACTGGAGCGGACAAGTACTCACACACGGGTACAACACAATACAGCTTCTCCACTGGACAACGCGGCGCTGAAAAGTAGTAGCTACCATATTTTGACCGAGACACTCAACTTGCGCCATGTGTCGCTCGATGCAACAACAATCATGAGGCCATAGCCATCAGTAAGACCTCCTGGGTGACCGATTTTCGTGATATGGCGTCCAAAAAAGGGTGACCTGCTTACCGTCACCACCAATTGCTAACATGCACGGAACGTGTTCGCGAACCGAAACACCCATCACACCAAACCGCCACGAGAATTTCAGTAGTATTGTAACCGTAATCCGATTAATCCGACAGTACACCTTAATTGAATATGAAACTCAACTTGACTAATAATAGAAACAGAAACAGTAACTACTAGTATATGGATCACTCTAATATGATAAGAGGAATAGTAGCGGTGTCGCTGTCGCTACTAAGAGTGATCACTGACACGCTACTACTAGTAGAAGCCACCGAGTGGTTAGAGCCGCAAGACGAAGGGGCGGTCGTAGACATGGTGGCGTCAGAGGCCTCAGAAGTGTCAGAGGCATAAGTAGCCTCGTAGGATGAAGAGGAAGAGGAGGAGGAGGACTCCCCTTCATAGGAAGACGACGAGAAGCGGGAGGAAGAGGAGGAAGAGGAGGAAGGGAGAGGGGAAGAGAGAGAGGAAGAGGAGGAAGAGGAGGAAGAGACAAAATGGTGGTGAATTTTGCGTAGATTCTTCCACGGGCGCGCGCGAAACGCGGAAACGCATAATCGATTTTTAGGCTATCATACTGAGTAATAAAACAGGAGTGATAACAGGTTCTGAATTTACGTGAAGTTCTCCATTGTTTAGTCCCTTCGGTTTTCTCTGTGCAATTTGGACACTTTATCACAAAAATCGGTCACCCGGGATGACCTTTGGGCACATCAACTTTGGACGTAAATTTGTCGGAAGCCTCATGGACAGCAAAAGTTCTCGAAGCGAGCTGCTGGGACTAAGCTTCCGACAGGTTGTCGAAAAATTACTCTTATATGCAGTCCACTGAGGTTCACTGGAAATGCCATCATCATCATCGACTGCCGCTCCTTCCTCTTTGCCTTTAGAAATGCTATCTCCTGAAATGGTTGCCTTTTGAGTATGTCTAGATCATATTATATAACTTTTCGTTGGTAGTCATTTAAGTAATTTGGATGTGAACTCATCGATTATAATATTTTCATAAAAAAAGTTGCACAATTACGTCTGCAGTGAACTTTGGACAGCTTTTTGTTCAAATCGAGTTACGGAGAAAAGTTCGTTCGCCCAATGTGGAACTATTACGGAAAAAACCACGTTATGACAAGAGTAAGTTATACGACTACGACAAATTATACAGATTAAAAAAATAAAATTAAAGAAGTGAAGCAGACGCTAACGACTGAGAGAGAAAATCTCAGACCATCTCGTCGAAGTCGACTAGTCATCCCTTCATTATCTTGTGGTCAACTCGATTCCGGATGAGTCGCTCGTCACCTGAACTCTCACTCTTATGCAGTTGCGAGTAGGTAAACAAGGTTTCTCAAAAGAACAGTCATTACAGGTGACACGGAGATGCAGGTGGTGACACGGAGAAATCAAACCAAAAACCCGAAACCCGACGGCTACGAGGGTACCCGACGGTACCCAAATACGAGTCCGAGATAGACTAAAAAAAGAAATAACTCGCAATACGAAATGCGAGTGAAACGGGCCGGAAACGTTGTACCAGTGCGAACTCTAACGCAGGTGCAGGTAGTTAGTTATGCGGATGTAAACCGAAGTTCCGTGACAAGTAATCATGACTTGTGCGCGCAGGGATTTATGAGCGAGCGAGAACCCCCCGTAGGTTCTGCACAGCTTCCGTGAAAAAAATGAATTTACTTCCATCAACCATTTAGATTAGCTGATAATGGCCAAACGGAGTCAACTCGCACGCAGTAGAGTCTCGGAGCTTCGAGCTAACAGCTGAGAGGTCTCGCCAAACAGGTTAAAACGGAGTGCAAAAACTCCTATGATAGAAGTCCTGCCGCGAAAAAGAGCTTGCGCGCACATAGCTGACATTGACTCTCGCACAACACAGAGTGCTTCACTTCACCACAGAAGCTGCGTCTCCGACATGCATAGTATCCCTCTTCTTGCTGTGGTGTGGGCTCAATCTATCATTGGAGGGTATGGCCAAGTAGTCAGGATGAATACAGAGTACACTATGGTACCAGTATATGGGTTTACTCTGCTTGCTGATATCTCGGTTGATGATCAGAAGATGCGTGCTTTGGTCGATACTGGAACTTCGTACCTGTTTTTCACATGGAAGCAATGGTACGAGGCAGTCACTCAACCCGGAGCTTGTAGCCAACTCGTAACTGGCTGCGTTCAGAGTTCGGCTCCACAAGGGCCTACCACAACTCTCGCATACTCGGAGGGCACTTTTGTGGGCATCAAAGGGAAGACAGGAAAGCTGACTTTTGGTTCGACTAGTGCTGCACCTCTCCGATTCGGATTGGTCGTCAGTCAACAGCCGTCCGTAGACCTGATACCGCCTGTCAACTCAGTTGGTTTAGGGAGACAGCCATTGGCAGACTACCCGTCTCTGGTGAAACAACTGGGATCAAAGCTAGGAAGTGATACTTTCGCTCTGTACCTGAAGACAGATCCGCATACTGGTCGAACTGTGGGAGAGGTTCTCCTTGGTGGTGGCGATCCGAGCTTGTATGTGGCACCCCTACGTTTCGTCCAGCTCAGAAGCCAGCAAGAATATATTGTCACACTCGGTACCTTGCAAGTTGGTAGTGGCATTAAGACTATAGGTATTAATGGAGCTGCTATTGTGGACAGTGGTACACAAGGCTTGATTGTCCCTGGCCTTTACATAGGTGGGTTGAAGAATGATATTCTTGCTCAAGCGTCGGCAGCCGCCGGGACAAGGGTTGAATGCACGGATATTCCCGGGCTCGATGTCTGCGTGTTCGAGTGTACATATAGAAAGTTCTTCCCGCATCTAGAATTGGGCCTGAATCCAAATGGCGACGTCCCAATACTTATCAATAACTTGCTCTACGCCCGAGATACAGCAGGGCTTTGCACCCTCGGCCTCAAAACTGCACTGGGATACACTTGGACCTTGCCAGACTTTGTTCTGGTCGGCCGGTACTTTGAATTTCAGCCGAGTCAAGGGCGAATCGGAATCGCTGCAGTCCGCTCCCGTTAATATGTACCGGATGGTTTATGATGAGTCGTCATTGATGACAGCGACGGCTTGGTTATGCCGTGTGCTAGAGGTCAAGGTTTGCTTACAAGCTCAGTTACAGCCTCTTATACTTTTCAACCCGCTCTCAAATGGGGTCAAGGTTCGATTATCGTTCCAGTTCCAGTCTCATGCTTTTTCAATTCGTCCTCAGATGGAGTCAAGGTTCGCTTATAGTCCCAGTTACAGTCTCATGCTTTTTCAATTCGCCCTCAAATAGGGTCAAGGTTCGTTCGTTGATAAGGTCAGTTGCAGTCTCTTGAACTCGTCGCTAGTCATTTGCGTCATGATTCTGGTGTTGTGTTATTTTTCACAACGCAGTGCATGTTTTGCATCACGAGGTGGAGGAGGATTTTGTGATTATTCTACTTGCATTCGGCTTGTGTAGAGAACGGTACCTCTTCACACTCTTCTTGTGTGAAGAAGTACCGAGGCTTCATACTTTCCTAAGAACATCGACTTGGGAAATTTTCGCCGAGAAATTTCCGGTCAGTAACTCGGACGAGTCATGTCGGTCAAAGTTTTAGTTAAGCATGGTTGCTCATCTACGACGGAGCAGCTATATGCTACTATATCCTCTGCAGTTGCGAGTTTCTACTCCGATCTGGCAGGGCCCCTGCCGCAGGGGTTGATGAGTTAAGAAAAGCCATCCAAAGGATAACACTGAGGATCCATGCATTCTCAGGGGCTCACAACTTCTGCTGAACACGAAAGTGTTAAGTCAGCTGTGCTGTTGGCTCACTGGATAGTAGCTTAACGATGTCGCTGACTGGCTTGTTGTACATCGGTTCTCGCGTGTTGAGGTGAAACTTCTCATAGTTTGGGAAGCGACGAATCTCCTAAAACCGCGAGGTTTGGATGAGCGCAGCATAAGCTTCTTCTGTTGCGATCTCAGCAAACGTGAAGCTCCTTGAACGTGGTTCATTCTTCCAGAAGGCCAGATCGAACCACCACACTGCAATCCGCGGTCCGTAATTCAGGAATCGGAAACGATGTCGACGGAATTCGTAAACCTACGTCCAGTGACTGGACGTAGACCAGACTGGACTCCAGTTTCGGGACAGGACCGTGAGCTACGCTGAACTCTTCAAGCCTGAACTGCGAGAGTCTCGCAGTACAGGCTTAAAAATGAGGTGGTTTTGAAAAGAGTCGCCTTCGCAGTTCCGGCGATCGTCTCGCAGCGGGACGATCGCTAGTCAAGGAGGTAAACACTGACTGGTGCATGATCTCTCCCTGGGGGAAATGAGCTTCAAAACAGCTATGTATCGATTACCAATACTGTCCGGTCATTGAACGCCACCATAATGGTCGCGATTCGCGACTCGCGAAGAATCTTCCGCAACGCGCGGTGAGGAATCGTCATTACGGCGGTAGTATCCCAAGCCGTACAGTTCAAATTCGGCACTTTTCAACTCGGGCACTTTTTTTTCGTACAATTCCCGGCTCGGACACCGTCTTTCGGGCAATATAATCCCAGACACTATTAGGCGAGTTTTCTCAGACAATTCCAAAGTCGTACAATGTAACGGAAAACTCTCGTGCACTTTAATCCCATACAGTGCAAACTCATGCAGTGTTAACTCATCCACCCGATTTTTTTCACTATAGTTTCGCGAATCATTCGCGAAACTATAGTGAAAAAAATCGGGCGCGCTCCGCGCGCGCCCTCCCAATTGGCTACTCGCATTCGTTCTGCGAGGGATCGGACTCACGACCTCCAGAATCTTAATCAGCATGTCTGACCATTACGCCAAAAAGCCATACTACATTTTGTACGTTGTTCTTGTCTTGTTCCTGATAAACTTCTGCGACCGTTACATGGCGCTTAAGCCCTCGTCACTAGTACTACTGTTCGACACTGTCTTCCGGGGAAATAGATTCATTTGTCTCGGCACTCGTGAGAATCTGAAACTTCACTTTGGGTGGAGTCAAAATCTACTGTGATGGCACCTTCAAATGTTCCTCCAGTTTGTTCCGCCAATTGTATGGGATTCATGTGAAGAAGAGTAGTTATGGTTCGCCAGTTATTCTGTGTTTTTTACAAGCGAAAACTAAGCAATTTTATGTGGATTTTTCGTATTTACTTGATGAGAAATGCCGCTATCTCTTCGGAGATGGCCTCAACATTGAACACGTGATTCTTGATTTCGAAAGTGGCATGATTCGAGCCATACAAGCTCTAATGCCACAGACCATCATAAGCCTTTGCTTGTACCACTGGGCAGCAGCTCTCTATAACTGGTAATCTCTGTAACCTTTGCGAGGCATTCCACCACAGATTAAATTCTCTGTGTGTTACTTCGACTCCTACTTTCTATTCTATTTTACTAACATAGTGGACAAGTTCGACGAGTTCGCTAGGATGTTCTCCAGAATAGAGCAAGGCGATGCTCTCGTAAAGTCACCACCAATAGAAAGAACACTGAAGGTACCTTGGAGAGAGCATATGCTGCGACGTTCCCGGAGTAGGGCGGCAAGTGTTGGGCTGCGACACCCATCAGATTAGTGGATGAGAAATACATACAGTATCTCCGGAGCTGTAGCGCTACTCTTGAAAGGAGCAAGTCCCCTGGTAAGGTAGCTCAGCCTGAGAATCCACAAGTTTCCACCCTATCCTCTGATGAAGTGTTCATCACCGTGAACGATATCTATGACTGAGCATTGAATAAATGACTAACGTGTGAAGTCTTTTTGTTGACGAGAGCACACAATTGTGTGATACCGTGATATCGATAATTGAATGATATCGTGATGATACTTGTGAAGTTTCATTTAACTATCCCAGTCCTTGAGTTGGCCGAGTGAATCGCTTAGTAGTGCCTCAGTTGGCACTGCCCGAAGGGTGTCTGTCCGGATTGGTACGGCTTCGTCGCCGGTTTCTGCCCCGGTTTCAACTGTCCGGAATTGAACTGCTCGAAAATCGTGAAACGCATTCACCGATTGCCCGAGTTGAAAAGTGCCGAATTTGAACTGTACGGCTTGGGATACACCCATTACGGCACCCCCAACTAACCTTGTCTACTGCGCAAACATCGTATGAGACTAAAGACGGAAGCGGAACTACTTTTTCGGCAAGAGGAATACCATCCCGCAACGGGACGAGACCAACTTGGTCTCATCAACTCATCAACAATGTGTTGATGGTCGCAGAGGTCGATATCTCGGCGATTTGAACTACCGCGTGCAAACCACAACGGTTAGCCATGTTGCTGTCTCAACCACTCGGCCAAAGTGTCTAACATTAACTCCAATGGGACGAGTGATCCTATCCGAAGGGAAACCCATCCCTATATTCGCTTGCTACTAGGTATGTACCATACCCACTGCGGAGTTATGACTGTTTAGTATCATCTACCGGGCCGGTCTCTCAATAGAATTCAACCGTCAACCTCCTGAAGTTCAAAAAACAATCCACATCCACGGGACAAGATTTGCTCTGTCATTGTGTAATCCACTCCACGACGAGGCTTTCGTTAAAAAGCTTGTCAGCTTCCGTGGAGAATGAGTGCATACCGCACTGAGCAAAGTATCTTGTGAAACGAGTGGGCGATACGTATGCTCGCCACAACAAAAAAGAAACAGTCAGTGTTATTATCGACCCCGCATGCCATGACAGCTCGTAAGTTGGTGTTTGTGCACATCACACTCGAAGGGTGCCTTCTTAGTCATCAAGTTAGTCTCAGCTTTCCGTCGCTCATTTGCATTTGTCTATGACAGCTTCAAGATCTGTCTCCGCTGTACTAGTAGCTCTCTGTGCCTTCCAGGACATCAAATTCGTGACGGGCAACGCCGCTGACTGCGACACAGAGTGTTCCACGACTTACCCTGGGTCGTATTGTAAGTATTGGAAGACGCCAAGCACTTGCTTCGGCTCGGATGCATCATGCTTCTGCGGCACGAGTGAACCGACCGAAGCTCTCCGAGGTTCGACATCCTCTGCTGCAGTCACGGATGAGATTACTGAGCCTACTACAAGCGAAGGAGGTACCACAGCTGCTCCCGAAGCAACGAGTACGACTGGTTCTGAAGCTACTGTCGATACCACAGTAGCGGCCAGTACAGCTGCTGTGACCGATGAGGTTGCTGTCACTACTGCAACTCCTGTCACTGGCGAAGTGACCATCAGCACGGCAGCTGGGGAAGCTCCCGGTAGAGACAAGGATGATTCTGATGCTACCACCCAGGTCACGGAGGCTGCGACTGTGACGACTATGATCGATGCTTCTGTTGAGCCTACTACTGTCACGTCCCCTCTACCGGTCAGCACAGCTGCTGTGATCGATGAGGTTGCTGCTACTACGGCAGCTCCTGTGACTGGCGAGGCGGCCATTACCACGGTAGCTGGGGAAGCTCCGGGCAGAGACAAGGATGATTCTGAGGCTACCACCCAGGTCACGGAGGCTGCGACTGTCACGACTACGATCGATGCTCCTGTTGAGCCTACTACTATCACGTCCCCTCTACCGATCAGTACGTCCGCTGTGCCCGATGAGGTTTCTGCTACTACTGCAGCTTCTGTGACTGGCGAGGTGGCCATTACCACGGCAGCTGGGGAAGCTCCGGGCAGAGACAAGGATGATTCTGATGCTACCACCCAGGTCACGGAGGCTGCGACTGTGACGACTATGATCGATGCTTCTGTTGAGCCTACTACTATCACGTCCCCTCTACCGGTCAGCACAGCTGCTGTGATCGATGAGGTTGCTGCTACTACGGCAGCTCCTGTGACTGGCGAGGCGGCCATTACCACGGTAGCTGGGGAAGCTCCGGGCAGAGACAGGGATGATTCTGAGGCTACCACCCAGGTCACGGAGGCTGCGACTGTCACGACTACGATCGATGCTCCTGTTGAGCCTACTACTATCACGTCCCCTCTCCCTGTCAGCACAGCTTCTGTGACCGATGAGGTTGCTGTCACCACTGCAGCTCCTGTGACTGGCGGAGTGGCCATCAGCACGGCGGCTGGGGAAGCTCACGGTAGAGACAAGGATGGACCTGATGCTACCACCCAGGTCACGGAAGCTGCGACTGTCACGACTACGATCGATGCTCCTGTTGAGCCTACTACTATCACGTCCCCTCTACCGATCAGTACGTCCGCTGTGCCCGATGAGGTTGCTGCTACTACTGCAGCTTCTGTGACTGGCGAGGTGGCCATTACCACGGCAGCTGGGGAAGCTCCGGGCAGAGACAAGGATGATTCTGATGCTACCACCCAGGTCGCTACTGAGACTGCGACTATCACTACTACGATCAGTGTTTCTGTTGTGCCTACTACTACTACTACTACTACTACTACTACTACTACTACTACTACTACTACTATAACGTCCCCTCTCCCGGTCAGCACAGCTGCTGTGACCGATGAGGTTGCTGTCACTACTGCAACTCCTGTGACTGGCGAAGTGACCATAAGCACGGCAGCTGGGGAAGCTCCCGGTAGAGACAAGGATGATTCTGATGCTACCACCCAGGTCACGAAGGCTGCGACTGTCACGACTACGATCGATGCTCCTGTTGAGTCTACTACTATCACGTCCCCTCTACCGGTCAGCACAGCTGCTATGACCGATGAGGTTGTTGCTACTTCTGTGGAGACGACCGATTCCGAGACTACTCTCAGCCCGAATGTGTAGCCGATTTAGGTTAATGAAGCTTTGTAATGTCCGGTGAGCGCATTTTAATATAATCCTGGCCACTGCAGGATGTCTTGATAACGAGTGTATAAGTGTTTATATGCCCGAGTTGCGTTGAAGGATACGTTGCGCCCCAACATCACGAGATCATGGACGCTATACCCAAATACGAAACCTGTCTGGAGTGCATCAGAGATACCTGAGCGGTTTCGAGACTGACGAGCGAAGGCGGGCAAGCCGCGCCAGACTGACAGCGGTGGGTGTACCCGCTTACGCACTAGCATCGTGCTAGTCGCATGAGCTCATGATGATCCTCCAGGGTCTTTCCGATTGCTGATATGCAGACAATTGTGTTGATAGTGAGTTCAAATGCCGAGGTTGGATATCCTAGAACGTCTGATGTATCCTTGGCAGCTCAATGTGTTCTTTTCAAGCTTGACATGTGTGACACCGACCAAACATCAGGGTGGATGCAATCGGAGGCAAGCTTGTTACTCGCGTAGCTCACTATGAGAATTAAGCCAACTGTGATGCTGTGTAGATGGCCAATCGCCCAGCCAATGAGGTTTATTCAACTGAGCAATATTTCGAGATTATGCCGCGGTATCGCATGCTATCTTGATAACGAGTGGATGAGTATTGATCGAAAGAGTTGCGTCGATACAGTCGTTCGGCTTTCACATCGCACGAGTTTCTTTCATGCAGGTCATGGACGGTGTCATCACGATGCATTTTTAGTATGTAGTGAAGCATCACGATAGGATAGTTCCATCAGGATAGTTCTCGATTTGGCAGGGAAGGAGTGTATTGTATAGACGCGCCTCCGATCGACCAATTCCAACACCGAACTCATATGGACCCACCGACTGTAGTTTCTTAGTGAATGTACCGTGCAAACACCCCTCATCGAAACTTTTGATTTCCATGGCTCAGTGTCATTCACGAAGATGGGCGATGAGAATGCAGTTGGTCAGACCAACGGGAATCATTACCGTTGCTGAGCCTTCTAACTCTTCGACTCACAAAACAGTTCCAAGTTAACTGGAAACGATAATTATACCTTTTTGACGTTGGTAGGGAAAGGCGCTCAATCACTGTCCGAGTCGTCGAAGGTCGTCCTAGCACCTTCGAACTTGGTTAGAGTGCCTCTCTGTGAGGGAGCAGCCTTCGCAGCCCAGGACGGGTGATTCGATGGCGCTTCAAGTTGCTTCAATGCGGATATCTAAGACAGCAAGCGATACTCAAAACAGCGCTGAAGAACTCGCCTATGCAAATGAGCCCTGAGCTTATTTCGGTACAATGACTCAGTTATTTTTCTGATAGAGACAAGAGTCCGGTGACTTTATCAACTATACAGTTGATGCCAGGATGATGCACATTGCGATCAATAATTTCCAAGAAGGACTGAAATCGTGACGCGTCGACTGGGCTGATTTCTGTAGCAGATTCAATTCTATTGAGTCCGTCATTTACTACTCCACATTGGAAACCCATTTCTCTTACCGGTTCGTTCTTCGAATTGACTTGGACTGGCGCTCCTCCTTCCTCATCAAACGTCTTCGAGTCCTGAAAACAGCAAATGATCGTCAGACCGCAAAGGTGTGGAAATCAAGGAGTTCATCCCGGAACTACCGATCCCCATGTCACACACTTTCGAACGTCCTTTCTAGAATGAGCTTAAACTGTCGCAGTAGTACGGGCTGTCCCTTGCGACTCATTCACTACCACTTATGACTACTGTTCGCTATACTACCATTTTTCAGTCTAACAATCTCCAGAAGATTATCTCCATTGAGTACAACATTTACCATCAACAACCCTCCGTCATTCCGCCCAATTACCTCCGCTGTCTTACGAGCCTTGAAGCTCTCCATGTGCTCCTCCGTTTGCCGGGAGCGTTTCGCTCCATGGCTCCATCCCTTGCCGTGACCCTTATCTGGTGCTACGTCTCGACCCTTTCCTTTGCCCTTACCCTTTCCTTTCCCTTCACCCTTGCCTTTTCCTTTACTAGACCGATAGTCGTCATGTCTCGGTGAGACCTGCCAACAACAGAAGAAGTAGATACGCTTACCTGGATGGCAACCTCATTATGGTGAGTAAACGATGAGTAAATCGAATGTGTGAGAGACGACCAAGAATTCACCGGATTTCCCACGCTAGTACATTATCGTCATCTGCGAAGAAATCATCAACAGTTTCACGTTTCTCCACGGTCTCCTTAGTCTCTTGTTTCTCCAAGGTGCGTTCCTCGATCTCCTTTTTACTCTCCAGCCGGTTCCGTATAGACTCCCGAATAGACTTCTGTTTCGCCGATTCACGCGGTTTTAATTTTCCATCCTTAGGGAAGAGGGATATGTACTTTTCCCCGTGTGGGTAAAATTTTATGTACTGCAAGTCTCCAAGATGGCCGTTTATCCGCTGTTGAATTTCCTCCGGATTCGCCTCGGATTTTCCCTGAATGCATTCAGCCAATTCCCGACGGCAACCTTTGAGCTTCCGCTCGACCTTCTGCCGCTCTACAAACCGCACATACTTATATTTCTCGAAAAGTTTGTCCTCTGCTTCAGTCGATGGTCGCCCTTTCGGCCGACCACTCATTATAGACTAAGTAACACAAGCCTGACTAGTACCAACAATTTCCCACATCCTGTTGGCACTTTATATGGCATGCGGTTTTCAGAAGAACCAACATAACATCAATAGGGCAGCAAGCTTAAACAGTTCGACGAATTAACTGGACTAGTCAATTTCTGGTTTTCCCCACCTCCTTCCTCCCCCCGTTCAATAGACAAGGCTGTGTGCGATGCTGGAATCGATTCTCAAAATCGATTTTCGAAATCGTTCCTGAAGTCGTGTTCAATAAACACGATTTTGAAAGTTGAAAATCGATCTCGGAAGCGATTCCAGAATCAATTCCGACTCGCGTTCAGTACACACGATTTTTAAAATCGATTCCAGCATCGATCCCAGAATGGATAAATAAAGTACGTGAGAAATGAGGCTCTCCGGGATGGAACCTGAGCCCATACCTCGACTTCCTCGACTATCCCTGAATTCCGAAATATACCTCTACTAAGATTCGAACCTGAGACACCTGGGTCACAATATACTAGTTTATCCTACTGAGCTAAAATGACTACTTTGCGAAATAGCAGTTAGTAACTAGTATTTACTGTTGAGCGGTCTACCTATGAACGAGTACCAGTACTTGTCAGTAGGCTGTTTACCTACTGACCCGTTAGTAAGTGGTACCTGGTTGCCCAACCTCAGTAGTGCGGTCCTCTAGAGTTGCTCTAGAGGATTGGAGGTGGTCCATTCTAGGGTCCAGACCCGATATATTTTCACATGTCCCGGGATCGAACCTCCGACCTCCCGGTTACTAGCTCAACAGTTGGGGCCCAACTCGCAAACCCTCTCGAGTCTGTTTGGCGACAAACGTCATATCCCTGCTGAGTATGACCTCTTTTCTTGCTGTATCGCCCCTCATAGCCAGTTCGTAACTGGCAATTCTCCAAGGAGAGTTGTTTCTTCTGGACTCCACACGTTTCCCTTCTCGGTGCTCTTCTCTATGAAGCTTCTGTCACGCGCCACGAAATTTTCAGAACCACTCCGAGTGGTTCTGGAATCTGCGATTCTGGAAACGCTCTCAGAAGCGCGCACAAGCTCTTTTGAACGCGCTGAGAACCACTTCTGGAAACGTTTCTGGGATCGTTTCCGGAGCTGGTTCTATGAACAGAAAATCCCAGAATCGTTTCTAGAAACGCTTCTCAAATTCGAAATCGGTCTATTGAACGGGCGGAGGCCGCCTGCCGCGGTGGAATGCATGTAATGCAAGAAGAGCGCGAAGTGATTTGGAGCTCGCCCTAATTGCTGCGGTCGCATGTCATGGTCGAGCTTGATGCTTTCCGAGCTGCTGTTGGGGGGTAGGTGACGAATCAGGCTTAACCCAGTAGTGAAATTTGGGCTTACATTCATTCTAAAACTCGCTGTGAGATCGGTAGGAGCGTTCCGTGACTAGTCTAGAGTCATTCGAGAGTACTCGTACGGTATTCCTCACGTGGCTCGAGATACCAGCTGTCTCCTACTCTCTCCCCTCCCTCCATGGCTGAGGGAGTCCCCTGCAGTCAAATAAGCTCAACTTAGTGGTTGTCTATTAGCAGAGTAGCCCAAGTCGTCTAGAGGGATCACTCCAAGCCCCGTCTGAGCCTGTCAGAGGTGTTCGCTCGTGTCCATCCTGGTGTTGCCGCATCTAGTGTATTCGATATACCTTACTCTCAGTACACACCCCCACGGTGCTTGGTCGACTCAACGAGGCATGTTAGCTATAAATGAGAGCCCAGAGACTCCCCTTGGCCCTTGTACTGGACTCCTCGTCGGCTGGAAACATGCGGTCGTTCGAGCGGCCTTCCTATTTCCATGTCCGACGCCACTCACACTGTATGTCCCGTAGATTGCTCTAAGATGGGATCTTGTCAGCTTGTCATTTACCAATATGAAGGCCCCTTCCCTCCTCCCGGCCTTGTCAGCAGCGTTGCTCTTCACGTAAGTCCGCCCATCTGTACAGCTCCTGTTCATTCGTCTTCCCTCAGGCTTCAAGGTTGCGGTAAGAACAAGTCGACTACAACTAGTGCCCCCTCTGGCAGTCAATCTAATGGACCGTCAGCTAGCGGCCTCTTCCTCAACAAAGCGGTGAGCTTAGAAAGCCTCGATCGCCTCAAGGTTCACTCTGCCTGTTTTAGGGCTCCCATGGTTCCCAATCGTGTTACCAAGCTCATATGCCTTATTCACTTAAGGTTGAAAGAGTGAAGAGCTTCGATGGCTCTTGGAACAACGCTATCACAGCAGACTGCGGCAATTCGCACAAGTAGGCTCGCCTTTGCCTTGCAAGTCCTCACGTGTTATTGCCTCTCTTCAGAGCTATACAAAAGGCCGATGCTGATCTCCCCGAACGAGTCAGTGAGAAACTCCTCCATGCAAGAATGACCTGCAATGACATTTGGGCGGCATTCGGTACGGAGTCTTCGGCTAGCGCTATGAGCCTCCGGTCTGTGTGTCGAGAAGCCCTTGGCGTCCCTGTTTAACACTGTCTTCAATGCCTTGCCCTGTATAGTGTTGCTCATGCCTTCTGGCCGTGTTACTGTCATTTCAACACTTCGCGTTGTCAATTCATGTTAAGAGAGCCCTCTTGGCTGGAGAACGAGTTTTCGAACTCAGATTCGTATCATTCTTGTAGCTTTTCAAGCCCCTTATACATTCGCTGCAATGTTCAAGCCCGTTGGCTTCACTCTACTTTCACTCGTCGTACTCCTGCTGAGCGGGTGAGCAGACTCTCTCTGGCCTGATCGTTGTGCAATATAGTGTCTGTCTTCAGAATGAAAGGTTGTGATAGAAAACCGAGACGAGTTGGAAGAGCGGTAACTACTACCCGCAAGCCTACCACCACTACGCGCAAGCCTACGACCACTACGCCCGAGCCTGTCACCACTACGCCCGAGCCTGTCACCACTACGGCCGAGCCTGTCACCACTACGCCCGAGCCTGTCACCACTACGCCCGAGCCTGTCACCACTACGGCCGAGCCTGTCACCACTACGCCCGAGCCTGTCACCACTACGGCCGAGCCTGTTACTACTACAGCAATGCCTGAGAGCGAGGCGACTACGGAAATCTCGAGCCCTTCCCAGACGACGCCTGAAGCTATCAACACCAAGCTGGAGAATGACACTTCTCCTGATGTGCAGCCGACAGAGGAGAAGAGCTCAGGTGGGGCTCAGCGTCTGCGTTTTTGCTTGCGTTGTAGCGCTTCCGCAGATGAAGCCGCGTCGCCAGAGTCGATGCCTGATGATATGGTTGTCCATGGCACTCCCGAAGGGGAAACGGAGAGCTCCGAGGCGACTAACACCGGAAGGGCTGACCTGTCGGGGACAAGCGATTCTAACTTGGAGTCTGATGGGAAGGAACTGAGTGAGTTTATACTTGTTTCGATGAGGAAGGGCATGATGTGTTCTGTTCAGATGCAGCTCGTCCAGTTGACTCTACAGCTGATGAGAAGCCGACTGATGCTGGCGCGGCTGGTGAGTCGTCTTCCTCGGAAGAAGTGGAGAATCTCAAAGGCAAGAAGTCTGGCAAGAGTGGCCCATTCGTGTTGAAGGGTGTCAAAAGACATGTGACGATATCTCAAGAAGAGGAGTGGACCAAGGCCGGGCATAGGAAGCGAAAATCCGCCTAGCCTGTATTCCCTCTCTTGTTATTAAATCTGTCCCGACACGCCCTGGTCGACCTTTGAGTTCTCGGGGGTGGAGGTGTTGGAGGCTTCATTTCGTCAAAGTAGTTTTCTCAAGCCCCTCTCATTCTTCTACCAATGAAGTTCTGCACCTCCCAGACTACTTTCATCATCGGCTCTCTCATTGCTATTATCGGGTACGCTCGAGTATTACCATTATTCTCTTATCATGTACTCATTCGTTATTCAGACTGCAGGGATGTGCCTCTAAGGAGAAGAAAGCCGCTCAAGCCGCAGCTGACGCGGCATCTGCAGCATCTGGTCTCGCCTCTGAAGTCGCTGACTATGATAACTTCGTAAGTTTAAAAAACTCCACCTGAGGAATGTTGGGCTATGCTTTCTTTGGGTTAGTCTGTCGATAATCTCTTCCGTGGAAGCGGAGGCCGCTACCAGATTTGCAGTGTCAACGGCACTACTACTGACGGCTCCAACGATATGGAGGGAACATTCAAGCTCCGAGTTGAAAGAATCCTCGGCAGTGGCGAGAGCCAGTGGAAGGCGATTCTCCGCGGTTTCTGTGGGGCTTCCGGGTAAGCCTCAGGGTGGGAATCTGGGTATCGTTCTGTTTCAGCAACTTGGAGAAGAAGTTGGGCACTGACCACACGAGCAAGTTGCAAGGCGAGATGAACTGCCAGGGCGTCTGGGGCGTGTTCCACATCACTCGCCAGTCGGGCTTGGATGCGGTCATATCCGTATGCGACGACGTTCTCAATGCTCAAGAGCAGAAAGGTTCTGATGCCCCTAGCAGCTCCACTGAAGTGCAAGAAGCCACCACTGCCGCCCCTACTGGTGAGAAAGAGGAGGAGGCGACTGAAGAGAAACCCGCGAGTACAGAGAAGCATATGTTGATGAGACAGCATCGCCGAGCTGCTCTTCACTTCAGTTAAGAGGCTGCCTGTAAAGGCACCCTGACACATGTCATGTGAATGTTAGAAGGTCAATTGACCCTTTGACACTGAGCGATGTATTGTGTTGTCGTTGGTTTGCTGCGATGTATCCTCCTTGTTCTTGAGCTTTCAGGCCCCTCTGTTCTTTATGATTAGCAGCATGATCCTTCGTGAATTAGCCATTCTCCTAGCCCTCTTGGGCATAACAATGTGAGCATTCCTTCGTGAGATCGATTGCAATTTCCGGATTGATTTACCTTTACGCGTCACCTCTCAGACAGCAAGGCTGCGGGAGTAAATCCGAAGCGAGCACAGCAAAATCGTCAGGAAATACGCAGAAGGCTGGGTCCTTTCGCAGGAGCGACTCAAGCAATGAGAGCTACAGGCATCAGAAAACGTGGTCTGTCTATGTAAGCAGCACCGTGAGCATAGCTCTTCTATGGGCACCGATCATCCATGGTTACTTGACTGAATCGCCTCATTATGTTCCTCGTTCAGCATCCTGGTGTGACTACACACAGACAGGTCTGCACAGCGAAATACAATGATACCCTCAATCTCAAGGAGTACAACCTTAAACTAGAGCGCCGAAAAGAAGGCTCCGAGAAATGGACGGCAAAGCTCTCTGGGAAATGTGGCCATCGAGAGTAGGCTTGTGTTTTGACCTGGGTGATCTGATCTAATGTTATTCCTCAGAAATCTCGAAGCTGACCTGACAGGAGACGATTTGGATAAACTCCAAGGCGAGAAGAACTGTGTCGTTGCTTGGGAAGCTCTGGGAGTCACTTCTCGTGTGATCGTCGCCAGAAAGAGTGTCCCTCCCGTAGCGAAGTTGTGTCAAACCGTGTTCGGAAGTTAGCGAGGCATACGATCACTTTGACAGCACCGGTATCTTTGCTGGTATCTTAATGATTTGACATGTTGCTCTTTGGTGCTTCCGTGACTACGTATACTTCGCCACCTATTGGGGCGTAGAGAATGATGTCATTATGGATGTCGAGTTGAATAATGATGGGCTGTGCCGAGAATTGAACTCGGGACCTCTCGCACCCTAAGCGAGAATCATACCACTAGACCACACAGCCAATGTATAATTGTTTCTGTGAGTATCTGATACAGAAAACCTCTTGCAGCCTTCCCACCTGTATCTGCGTTACAGGCACTTTATGGACCTCTTTTCTCTTCTCCACCTCCTCCTTGCCACTTCAATCGTTTTCATCGGAACGATTGAGTAAGCTCTTGATCGCCGGAGATGTGCTTGATTACATTCTTGTTATGGCAGAATCCAAGGATGTGGATCGAATAAATCCTCGACTCGCGGTGGAGCTGAGGCAAGCTCCACAGAGACCTCTACAGAAACAGAAAGTGCAGCGAAGGCATCCAAGCAAACTGTGAGTCTCGGATAAAACTAGTGCGTTGAAAAAGGCGGTCTTCATGGTTTCACCACGTCTGAACGCACTTGAAGCGTCGGACTCAGGCCCCAGACGAAGTGAAAGACGGTGGCAAGTTCAAGATCTGTCGCGCCTCCTCAACCGATCATACGTACAAACTTTCTGTTCAACGCACTCTAAAGTCTGGTGAGACCCAATGGAAAGTGAAGCTGGTGGGCGATAAGTGCGGCGACAAGACGTAAGTCAGTTTGTTCCGAACGGTTCGTTCCCATGCTTTATTCGGCACTCCTCAGCGGCGCGAAGAAGGAGATTGTTGACGATTTGGCTAAGGATTTACAAGGTGAAGATGTTGACTGCAAGGCGGTATGGGAGAAGTTCGGGGTAACAGCAGAAAATCCCAGTCGTCTGAAAACCTTGTGCACGGACCCTGCCTGGCTTGGTGAAGCATCACCTGCCGCTGAGGAGTAGATAAAAAGACACCAAGTTTATCCACAGGACACAAGTTGCGTCCTCGAACATTGTTGTGTCTACTGTGTGAATGTTGTGAATTACAACAAGTTGTTTCGTTCTGCATTTGTCCAAGCCTGGCTCAACCCTGTTGACAATAGGGAATTTTCCTGTCATGTTTCGGCTACCGAGTCTATCTCTGCTATTGCTCCTTTGCATCGCTTCGCTCAGTCTCTTAATGTGAGTCAATACTAACAGTGCTTGGGTCACATTCGTTTGTCTCAGCTTTGAAGGTTGTGGGTCGAAAAAGGAAGTACAAAGTGAAGAATCAAATGCGGGCCCCGAAGCCGGAGTGGCCAGTTCAAGTTCATCATCCAGCTCGTCCAGGACGAGTGTGAGCAAGAAGTGGAGCCGCATGGTGAGGCTTTCTCCCTCATCATCGAAGATCCAATATGAGAGATTCCCCCGCTTCCAACCTGCTCGTTAGGTTCCCGGTACACCTGGTGATACTGTGCAGAGTTGTGATGCCAGCGCTGGCCTATTCCATCTTATAGTCAAACGTGTCAAACGTGGCGGGCAGAGCAATTATGAAGTTTCTATGGTGGGAAGCAAGTGCGGTCCTGACGTGTAGGTCTTGCTGGCGTCCTGAAGGGCAATGAATTGTTACCGTTCAGCGTCCCTGAAACTCCACTGAGTGGGGAGAATACTGCCAAACTACAAGAAGATAATATCTCATGTGCCAAGGTTTGGAAGGCTTTAGGAGTCGCCACTGCTACTTCTACAGAAGAGACTCTATCTGATATGTGTGCCAAGCTCAAGGCAGGACAATTGTAGATGTGTGAGTGTCCATGTTCGGTGTAAATTCGTGTGCCTCTGGAAGGCCTCGACGTCTATGAATCTGTTGTTCAGCGCTGTTGAGAATGGAAGAACGCTTGCGTTGAAGTAGTTGGGTTTTCTCTGAATTATAGGCAACTGCTAGCCTGCATTGCGACAGCGTCACAACCACATTTCTCTATCCTGGATAGAGAAGCATGGTTGAACGTAGCTGCTGATCGCTAACCCACATAAGACACCGCGTGTAGGGCATTCATTCCAACGTAGACAGGGGAGGCTCAGCTACCGGCTGAAGTGGAATGATAAAAGGGCAAAATGACAATCTTCCTGATCTCTGAAGCGATCATCTCTGCATATCGGTAGGAGACAAGTCTTGTGAGGTGAAGAGTGTCACTAGTGAAGACGTTGTACAATCACGAACATATTGTTAATTTTTTTGTCATTACGTCAGAGTGTGCCTGAAAATAGTAGCTCAACGCTATCGACTAGTCAAACTGGCGTAGTGGGAGCACGATACTGGAGAAGCAGCATAGGTGGATCTATTTCCTAAGAAAACGAGAATAGCGGGGTTGTCCTTTTTTGTGCGACACCGCGTGTCTGTGCCTTAAGCCTTCGAATGACAACGAAGGAGAGATCTGTGGGCATGACGTATTCAATTTTGATCAGATATGGTAAACCTTATCCGGTGTGGGAAAATATGAAAACATGGTCAACTCCATGTGTTGGTGACAACATGAAAATTCCAAGGAAATTTTTGGGAATTTTTTATTGGTTTCTATACACTCCCATCCGAAGTCGAGTGTGAACTCTCGTAATTAGTGAGGACACTCCTGAGCCCAGCTGAGGGGAGCGAGCGTTCATTCCTTCAACACTGGTAGAGGATTGCTCAGATCAGTGATCGTGACGGCTTCAACTTGGTGGAACCGTGAGCCTGCGTATCTGTACGCGTATCGGGTGAGCTACCGTCCTCGATTGCGCCATGAGCATGACTGTTACGAATAACTGTAGAGCCCCTGATTTACGGCGGAGACCAACCGAAATTGGTATCGTGAAATTTCTAGCTCGATCATATATCGCAGCAGAGGAAGAGAGAATTCCGAGATAGACAGTTGAGGACGTAATTCCCGATTTACTTCATAGTCGCCGAGTGGATCCCTGTCATGGGGGCCTCCACAGGATCCCCAACCTAAACATGACGCGCATGCGTGCTAATTTGCCACTGCTATGTGGAGACTCATTCCCCGATTGTTATCATGAGCTACTGGTCTCCTGTGTGAAATGCAGCGGGGTTAATTGCGATGGAGCATCGCATGTTACACACGACTGCTCTAAACTGTTCGCCTTTGGGAGTTTTAATTTCACGTGAGCGGCAGCAACTTCGCTCGCCGAGATTTCTGTCTATCTCGGATTTCGGCCTACCACAGCATGAGGCTGTAGCAGCCTGGTTACTTCCAGTCGTAATAGCGGTTATGAAGTCCTAAACTATAACATGAACTAAACCATCTCGTGAACAGCTCGTAGCGCCTTTTCTATTACGAGCCTTCCCGCCTGAAATCACGCACGTCACGTTGAGACGAGCACGCATGCACAGAGCTGTGACGCAGAATTGAAAGGCTCTCTGCGGGATAATTCCCTTTAGTGAATTGCTGCCACATGGACTCTCTTTGTTTCGACTGTACAATCCCAACCGGTTTGCCTGGAAGTGGCGATCCGGTCTCAATGACCATGAGCAATCCAGAGCAACTTCTGAGGATCGGTGTAAGCTCTGGGTGGGAGATCTGTGCCGGTTTACTCTGAGTGTTTCTATGTATCAGGCGGAAACTCGGCCCGCAGGGCAACCCCAAGTGGCAGGTCAGTCGGCATCTTCACCCGATGTAAAATTTTTAAACCCTTGGATACGTCGCGCTGTTGCCAGCAACCTGGTTCTTCCCTTGGGCGTTGTTGGTCGTGGGATCGTACGAAGGATGATCGGACAAGTAAGGAGGCACCTTTGTGAATACCTTCGTGATGTGGACTTGTCAGAAACTACGGGAGAAACCCCATCTTCGTCCGGTCATAAAATCTATCGGTAAACCGAAGAGTGCCTCACTCGCAGCTCTCATCGAGATGTGCCTTGTTACGGGTACCCTACAGCAGGCAACTCGTATTTCCATCCACCACATTGAACAGTGCAATCTCAAGAAGGCTGCTGCCAAAAGCCGGCGTAAAGCATCTCCGAAATCTGGTCGCCGCCGTGGAGCGAGACCGCCTCGCGAACCGGTGATAAACGGAGACTCCTGTTCGCCTACTACTACTGCTTTACCACCCATGGCATCTGCTGTCCAAGGTGAAACCAATGCTGAAGTGGAGTTGGAACCCCCAATATCTCCACTGCCGAGCTTTTTCACAACCTCGTCAGATGCGGCATCAACTGTAGAGCATCCTGTGCTTGCGGCAGCAGCGTGTTCGCAACCTATGCTAACATTCGGGACTACTTCAAGTGATCAGTCGCATTATTTTTCTCATTTCAACCTATTTGCTGATGGCTCCCATAGTGGGCCTGGTAATCAGCGACCATTGACTCTGTACGATCCGTTCGAGATGAACATATGAGCTAACGCGGTTCTGCAGATACCTTATTTCTAATGCTCTGAACTTGCGGAAGGTCAAAGTGTTCGTTATTGCATGTAGCTGGACCGTGCTATCGCGTACACTGTGAATGTAGTACGTCGCACTCATTGATATTGTCGTGCACGACTTTGCACGCATGTGCTAGGTTGATGCTTATTATTATCTGCTATTTTCGCTCTTAAGAGCATACTCTCCACATTTCAACTTTCGTCTCCTTGTTTCCGACGAGTTGAGCTATAGTAGGCCGAGCATGTTCCAGAGGAAAATAGCAATACCATTGCATGGAAGAATCCATGTTCTTGTGGAGGTCATCCATATGGCTTATACACTGCTGACTGTCTCTCGCATGTTCTTTAAGAGAGTGATTGGCCTTGGTCTTGGGAGCCATGATAAACACAACAATATAGTTCTTCCAGTAAGTAAATACAGCAGTATATAGCAAGACTAAATAGCTCTACCTAAAGGTCAGGCTAAGTATCAAGGATTGTGTGCAGGTGTCTCCGGACAAGTCTACAAAAGCCCATCTTCTGTTGTGACATTGTGCCAATCACTTGATCACTGATCGACTGTGACGGTCGTAGTGCTATTCAAACTCCACAGCATCTTCGTTTAGTATGGCCACCGCCCTATGCTCAGCATGGTTCCCTCGACGAGAGATGTGGCCTTTCTTGTTCTCAAGCGGGAAAATTCGAGGATTCGCCAACACTACGGTGAGCACTCTGCTGACCGAGCTCGATTCACTATTATCCTTTCTCTTCAGATCGTGAAGAAGACCGGAAATAAGTTTTTCGGTAAAGGGGAGTTGTTCGGTGGTCGGCAAGATTGGATCACCAACAGGAGAATGACGGATTTGCCGAAAGAAAACCACAAGGCTTGGCCAAGGGACATGCAGTAAGGCTTCACTTTCACGGATGATAGGCCGATTTTGGAAAACAAACTGAATTTCAACGTGGAAGTGCGAGGATTCTATGAATGACATTCATGAAATTTTCAGAAAAATTTCGAAACAATTCCACAGGGCACTTGGACCAGTTTCTCGATCAGTTTCACCCGATGGCCAGGGGTAGTCGGTGAGAGACTAGGCGCAGATTATTGGTTCCGGGAAACCGAAAAGTGCCCAGTTTCCGTGTACCATCATCAGGTAGTAGATCGTCATAGCCCTGCTCTTATACAGTGGAGTTTCAACCGTGATGTGAAGTGAAAAACATATTTCAAAGTTGACTCTGCGGAAAACGATGGGGTTATCGATTGAGAAGACTTACACTTCTTGAATTCACACGGAGTGAAACACCACATCACGTTAAACGAGTGTTTGCCTCAGACGGAGAAACACGACTGTGTTTTCGTGGGGTCAGCGGACAAACGTATGACGGAAACACGAACGATCGAGAATACTGTGAAGACATATACAACAGGGTTTGCAGTTCAGCTCTTGTTCGAAGGCAGAGGCGTGAAAGTAAGATCCCCCTGTGGAGCGCCTAGATCAGATGTCATACGCTGTCAGGCCGTCCTCCAGCCAAGTTGGCCTCATCTTTGGGCTCGTCTGACTGTCGGATCACCGCTTAGAGATCTCTCATGTAGTAGCTTATATTGGATCCCTTAGCCGTGGTCGGGCGTCCGCTAGCTAACTCAGCTGTGGTTCTTGAGTGAGCTTCAAGAGCGGTGTGGGAAAATATGCACATGGTCAACTACATGCATAGATGACTTTTGCGGAAATTCTGAGGAAATTCTCATTGGTTTCTGTGCACTTCTATCCGAATTCGTATGTAAACTTCCATAATCAGTGAGGAAATTTCTGGACTCAGCCGAGGAGAGCGTACATATGTTCCTCCAACACTGCTCGATCCTGGGGGGCGTTCCTGATACTCAGAAGAGGTATATTTAATACCCGACTGCGTCCTGTTTCCCTACAGTTAGTTCGCCTGTGTTCGGTCTGCCATAACAATAGGTTGACAGCTCGTCCGTGGTAGATATAGCTAGTCGAGATCCTGATATCGTTGGCCATCTCAATAGGGACGGTACGATACTCACCCTACATGGCCCGACGAAGAAAAGGTGGTACCGGGGTTCGAACCCGAGACCGAGTGGCTCATTGTATTCCCTTTCAGAGTTGGCCACGTAGCGATGTGCATTTGGGGCGCTACCAAGGCCGCTGTGTATACAGGCAAGGGCTCTCATCTTGCCTTTAACACTCCTCTGCGGAAGACCATGAAGAAGCGATAGCCAATGCCATCATGTCACGAACTAATGGTTTCTGATATTTTTCTGGCACTTGTGTTTTCCAAGTTGGCGAATCTCCAGCTTGTTTTCTATTTGATGCTCGACCGCCCACCCGACTCTGTTGTTTTCGTAATAGGCGCGACTGGAGTCGGCAAGACTAAGTTGGCTCTGGACCTTGCCCAGCAGTTGAACGGGGAGATAGTTGGCGCGGATTCGATACAGATTTATAAGGGCTTTGACGTGGCTAGCGCTAAGCCAACTCGTCAGGAAATGGCCTTGGTGGTGCTCCGTTGGCCGCCTCGTCGCTGAGCTTCTGTCGTGGCAGGTACCTCATCATCTGGTGGACTGCATTGACGCTAGTGAGGAATATAATGTCTCGCGATATGTTCAAGAAGCAACGAGTGCAATCCGGACGATTCATGCACGAGGAAAAACTCCTATTGTTGTCGGAGGTGAATTCGTAGATCCCAGGGTGCTCCGTCTAGTCGCCTTTCCACTTAGGCACAGTACAATACGTAACAGCATTGCTGTGGCCGATGACGGCTGTTGAACACAGTGACACGGTTCCTCCTATACTATCTAGTGACGAAGATACGCAGTCCTCTGAGTGCACTCCTACAGCGCTTTATAGGAAACTGTTGTTGGTTAATCCTGAAGCTGCTGCGAAGTTACACCCGCATGATATAAGGCGAATCAGGCGGTGCCTCGAACTGGGCGATATCCGGGCTGAGATGGGAAAGTTACGGTATCCCAGAGCGAGAGTTGTTTGGCTCTGTTGTGACGACAAGGAAGTTTATAGAAAACGAGTAGCTGAGAGAGTAGATAGTATGGTCGCTGATGGTCTCGAGGAGGAGCTCAGCGGCGTAGTTGCGCCGGGTGTAGAATGCGGGACCCTCGGATGGAACCGGGGACCTCTCCAGGGTATCGGCTACAAGGAGTTCCGCGAGTGGGTCGAAAGCCCTTCGGCCGACTGTTGGAGCCGATGTGTTGATCGAGTGAAGACGGGGACGGTGAAATATAGCAGGCAGCAAGTGAAGTGGATACGTAACAAGATTGAGCCTTTTGTCGAAGTGCACAAGGTCGACACCAGTGACTTTGAAACTGCCACTGAGTCGTACTGGGCGGGAATCCTTCGTAGTGCGGTAGAGTTCGTGAGAAGAGATCCCAAAGCTGTGAGTGAGAGCCCTAAGGAGGAATGGAAGAAGTACAGCTGTGAGGTCTGCGGTAAAGACGGCATCAATGGTCCGAACGAATGGCAGCAACATTTGGGCAGTAAAATGCATAAAAGCCGAAAACGTAAAGCGAAGCAAGCATCTTCACGAGGAGAGCTGAAGGATCCAGCAAGTTGACGGAGTGTCATGTGTCTTGATGTTCAGTTGTTAATTGTGTTCATATATCGTGTTGTATCATGTTCAAATATCTCAGTAACAGCGGGCAGCGACTTCGTAAATCGTACGCCTTGACATTGGGGGGTGAGCTTTCGTGGTTCTCTGTCGTTTAGGGCGATCACACCCCTCAGTCTGCGTCGCTTCCCCACTGTTTACAGCGCGAGTATGCGAGATCGTAGTCAGATTATATCGCAGTTCACTCTTTGCCGGTTCAAATCCCCCGCGCATAATCGTTCAATTTCTTAATCGTTTTCGGAATTTTTCGCACAGTCTCAAAACGTCGATGAACCATAGATAGATTTGCGACCTTCGTTGAGCAACCATGTCGAATCTGAAGGCGGTGAAGACTCGTATGAAGTCTGTGACTTCTATCCAGAAGATCACTAAAGCTATGAAAGTAAACGGCGGGAATATACTCACGCTATCCCTCCCGAAAGAATTACTCTGTTCTCGTGAATATTCTCCGCTGATTTCCTATTGCCCGTCCATCGCTGATCGAATATCGAGTGAATTGATTCCGTGTAGATTGTGATGCTTTTATATTGTTATTGGTGTGTGCTCCGGTTCAGTTTTCACGTAGGCGTCGTTGAGAAATTGCTTCGTCACAAGAGGAAGTGTTAATGGATCATTTTGTTCAGATGGTTGCGGCGTCAAAACTACGTAGTGATGAAGACCGTGTGGTGAATGGCGCTCCCTTTACTCAGCCAGTTATAGACTTCTTTAAGAGGCTCCCTGTCGACGAGGGCATCCCTAAGGGCAAGCATGACCTCGTTTTCATCATCAGCGATATCGGTGTCCCTCAGGCCCTGCCACCATCATGGGCTTAACGTCAGATAAGGGTCTATGTGGGGGTGTGAATTCTTCCATCACGAAACGAGCCCGAGCTATGGTAAGTGATCCTTGTGAGAAACGTAGTTGTGGAGTGAAGCACTCAGATAATGGAGGTAGAGGCTAACGGTGGTACGGCTAAGTACGTAGGCGTTGGTGGAAAGGGCACTGCGGCGTTAAGGAGGCTATTCGCTGACCGGTTTGAAGTCTGTATGGAAGATGTATGATGCTCGAATAACTTGCTCGAGATCAGCTCGCGAGTAGGTTCAAAAACATCCTTGGAATTTCGCCCAAGCCAGCGCGATAGCAGAACGCGTGATTCGCAGCGAGCCTGAGCGCCTGACTATCTTGTCGAATCATTTCAAATCGGTGATCTCCTTCGATACACTGGAGAGCCGGGTGGTCACACTTAAGGAGTGTCGAGAGATGGACAGGGTAGTAGTAGTAGTAGTAGTAGTAGTAGTAGTAGTAGTAGTAGTAGTAGTAGTAGTAGTAGTCTCTTTAGTAGTAGCCTCTTTGGTTAAAAAGTACATATAGGCGTAGAAGTAGTATCATTAATACAACCGGTGTTAACGGTACTAGCAGTAGGAGTGAAAATAACGGTGATTTCGATAGGAGTATTTGTGCAATTGATCAGAGCGAGTGGTCGAAGGCCGTAGACCAGTACTCTTTCGAACCCTCGGTTTTCGAAGTCCTCCATGACCTTCACGATTTCTATGTCGCCAATTGTGTCTTCGGCTACATGCTCGACTCGATAGCTGCCGAACAGAGTGCACGTGAGTTCCCCCGTCCATTCCTCGATCATCAACACAATCGTCTTAGGTATGTCTGCTATGGAGAATGCATCGAGAAACGCCGCGGATATGATCGACAAATTGGAGTTGCAGTAAGTGTTGATTCTCCCGAGTTGTTATGGCTGTGTTCAGGTTCAACAAGGCTCGTCAGTCGAAGATCACTACGGAGTTGTGTGAGATTATCTCTGGTGCTAGCAGTCTGTAGTCGGTCCTGCCACGTGTGTGAATATGACTGTTTCCTCTGCTACTGGAGTCTCTCTAGACGGTTGCTGGTTTTTCTCAACATTATAATACTCCACTTGTGTTGTCAATGTATTTGCCTCCGGGGTTAAATTTTCGCGCAGGCCTCTTACAAATGTTTACCCGACACGTTTGCTTGATCGTGGTAACTCTGCTACTGGCACTCAGGTGAGTCTTGAACATATCCGTCTTTAGTAGTGGACAAATGTGTGTCAGTCTTGAGGGTTGTGGAGGATGCGGAGGTTGCTGCTGTAGTGGTATGTGCGGCTGCGAAGAGCCCAAGCTTAGTCAACCTGTGAAGACCTCCGACCTGAGGGACAGAGTTCTCAGACATCAGCAGAAAATGGAGATACTCAAGCGCGAGGTGGAGGCGATCGATTGTGATTGTGATGATAAGAAGACTGGTAATGGGTATGTTAAGCAGTGTGGGAAAATATGCACATGGTCAACCACATGTGTTGGTGAAAATATAAAAATTTTGGGAAACTTTGGAGAGTTCATATTGGCATCTGTACATTTCTACCCTAATTCGTATATGAACTGCTCAACGCAGCTGAGGGAAGTGAACATATATTACAACGCTGATGTCAAGTGGCTCATTTGGCTGAGGTTGGTGGTAGAGTTTTGTGATCACTTCTTGTGGGGCACCGTCAGTGTGGGGAAATATGCACATGGTAGGATACATGTGTTGGCAGCAATATGAAAATTGGATTGGAATTTTGGAAAACTTTTGTTGATTCTACCCGAATTCGCATGAATAACAAGAATTTTCTCATTATCACCAACACATGTAGTTGACCATGTGCATATTATGTGAATGATCTGGTTCATCGAGATTGATGATGATACTCGGATGTTCAGGTAAAACGGAGATGCTCAAGACTGCGAATGCTGCGGAAAAGACGACCGCATCGGCGCCCACGCCGAAAAAGCAGAACCACAACGGTCGTGTGCGTATCTCAGACAGTGTGAAGTTGGAACCACCATCTGAATCAATCGCGATATAGCGAGGTAAGGTTCTCCATGTGTTGCCAATCTCAGGACGCACACGGGCTAGCAATATCGTTCGGATTACTAGGTCTAATGATTAGATGGAGCACGTAGGGATGCGCGTCCCGGCCTTATCCACTCGGTCATTTGAAGCGAGATGGGACAAGCATCTTATGGAGTGATGCTCTCTGATTCAGGACGATTATGATGTTGATATTATCCATCGTTGAGAGAGTCGATGATCAGTGGTGAAAAGTCGTGCATGTTATGGTTAATACCTGTGTTCACGGTCTAGCAGTGTTGTGTTCGCCGCAGTAGAACTCACGAACTCAGGACTCTCATACGGTGTGGAGTTGGTGAAATGCCATTGAACGGTTGTGGGAGGAATGGGAGATAAAATGGACATTTCTGGAAGACTTATCCCTGACGATGTACGAGGCAACATATTCTACATGTGAAAATATTGGAACATGCCCTGTGTGAGAAGTTGATGATGTGTTCCAATGAGAACACCTGTTAACCTGGAACTGTAAAATTATACAGTTTGAACCCACTGCGGTATCACTTGGCTAAGGTCGAGTCTTCCCACTGCTAACTCAAGAGGTAAACCCAAACCGCACCAAAATTTTAGCAAAATTTGCGATTGCCGAATTGTGTTACGCCGGTCTGGCCGTTCCTTGAATATTTCATCGAAGTAAGCTGCTGTTAATCATCCCAAGATCCTCCATCTCAGACTAATTCGTTGGACGGGATTGGCCGCTGTCACGAGGGCGTGCCCGCCAACTCACTCTGTGATTCTCGAGCACGCCGTGTTGTGGGTCAACTTCTGGTCACGGATCAGTTCGAGAGCCTCATAAGCGTCGTTCCAAGACAATGAGAGTGGTGTTGGAGAATATGATTGCTTTCATCGACTGAGGTCTGGAATTTCCTCACTTGTACATCGACTACCTAAAGTATCAATTTCACCGTAATGGTGCTCGCACGTTCCTACTGTCTCTCATCTCGCCCTTGAGACGGTGCCGTAATCCCCGTCTTCTTCCTAACGATATGTCTCTTACTGCTGACCCTCTCGGATCAGTCCCCCGACTGCATCGACCATCGTGTTCCCAAGTCCTCGCACGATCGGCGGACCGTGATTCACGGAATCGAATGAATCCGTGATTGTGCGGCGGTGAGCGCGTGCACGGATGATCCGTGATGGATGCTAGCAAGTTGCTAGTGGCGATACTCGAGGCTCCCTCTATGTGATGCAGTCTTAAGAGCATTGTTTGTTCTAAGTGTCACGAACATGGTGCGAAACCTCTAAACGGTTGACGAACAGCCGATAGAAACGGCGAGGAAAGCGGCTGCACGCATTTGCTGCTGAAGTGCTAGCGCCGTCACTGTGCGGCGTCAATTAACAGAAACTTTGGGAGTGGGAAGGCTCATTGGAGCTACAGTGGTCGGACTGGGTGTACACTCCACACGCGACTTACGAGGTGCGACCTGCTGGATCGTCATTCTCCTTGCCTTAGTCTACTGCACTCCGTCTCCTATGTCAAAAACAGAACAGCCTGCCGAGGATACACCCAAACAGCCTTCTGGAGGGACCCCTACAGAGACCGCTGTGAAAGAGTAGGTCTCTGGTTTTGATATGGTTGCCACTATAGGGTTATTTTCTACTACGCTTGTGGAACTCGTATATTTCAGGTCACTGACTACCTTCATGGAGCCAGCTGCAGTGGCGGTCCTAGCTGCCTGGTTCGCTGCTATCTCTGGCATCAACCCCACCATGTAAGGTTCATGCAGTAGGTTCTCACACTCTGCCCTGAACATGGGATATAACTATCGATCACGCTCATGTGTTCACTATCTCATCCTAATAGCGAGTTGAGGGCTGATCGCATTGTGGTCGGTTGAATCCTAATGATGGAAGACGTTTCTCCTACAGGGACTTCTCCCAAGGCGCCGACAACCTCACCGCTGCTTTGGGAGGTGGGTTACCCCGGCCTATTTGTGCAGGCATACACTGGGTAAGTCTTATAGCTCATATATTGTCCAACTGTTGCGGTTTCCCGTACTCAGATCTTATGCATGGTAGCTTCATTCGGCGTCTTATGTTTGCTATCATCTGTGGTCCCCGAAGTGGGGAACAGGAAACTGATGGGTATGGGAGCGGCCCTGATGACGGCAGCGGTGGTTTATAACACCGTTGTGACGACTCTCGCATCGGGTAGGGTCTCAACCAGGGGCCTTTCATCGAATATCTACGCCAAGTCGTTCAGTAGCATTTATGTGGTCTTAGTTTACGCCCTCGTGCTTTGAACTGGCTCGTGAGTTATTGTGTCTGTTGCAGGGTTTTCCGTTCTACAGCTGCTGCAGAGCGTATTGTTCGCCGTGTCTATGAATCGCCTGCCCCAGATCGCTGTAGTGGATGAGGGCGACTCCCTTTTCATCAACTGGGTGAGGTGGTTCATCTCGTCGTCGAGTTTTCACCCAAAGACGGTGTTCTTTTCAGTTGATCACCACACGCCCTTGGTCGTTTTCCGCCATATTGTTGCCCGTCGCAGTCACTGCGGCATCTCTGGTCTGGTGGGGAATTGAGATCAAGTCTGCTGGGCTAGCCACTGAAGTTGTGAGTTTAGTTCCCTTCATCGAGCGAGCCAGGATCTGCATCATCTCTCAGATAATGTCGATGATTCTGATGCAAGTCGCAGCGAATCAAATGAATTCGCTTGCTGATTATCGCAACGGTGTTGACAGGGCCGACTTGCCCACCTCCGATACGACCGTCCTAAGTGGTCTCCTGTCGGTCAGAGCTCTGGTAGGCTATTGACAAATCGCTCCTTGCTTAGTGGTCTCCCCCTTCTGCAGACCGTCTCGTCCGTAGCCTCCCTGGTTGCATCCTTGCTCATAGTTGCGCACAGCATCCGCGATATGGAGGACGTGTACTTCAATATCGATAAGTTGATGATGATTGTGGCTGTGATAGTAGCTGTAAGTGGAAAGCTCATACGGTTTTGGTAGCCAAATTTTCCTGTTAGGTAACTTACACGGTTTCTCCTTTTCCTCTCAAGTATATTGGATTAGGCGATGCTGCTGTGTGAGTCGTCGTAGAGTGATCGTATTTGAATTCTCCATGCTGTGCTCTAGGTTCATCTTTTTCGGCCCTATCAATTTGGTTCACTTCACACTTGCCGTCACTGCCGCCGAACAGTCCTATTCGAGGCTTGGAGATTTGCTCCTCTTCACCCTCCCTGTTAGCATCATGGTTACAGTGGTAACGTACCGTCAACACGTTTTGGACATTCAGTTCTCACCTTGTAGATTCTGAGCGCCAATAATATCAGAGATATGGATGGAGACTGGGAAGCGGGTTGCTACACATTGGAGGGGATGCTAGGGAGAACTGCCAGCCGAGTGTAAGCTAGGTCCATCCAATTATCATTGTTACACTCAGAGGTCGATTTTGTGATCGACGATTCGCCACAGTGTTGTGTAGTGTGGATACTGCATGTGCCTTAGGTACTTCGCTGGCCTTGTTATGACGGCGCAGGCCATATCTGCCTGGCTTGCTTTCCAGTATCAATGCTATGGATTATTACTAACACTTTTAGTCTTGCCGAGGTCCATTTGGCTGATGTAGAAGATGACCCCCTCCCACTCATATTTGAGTATCCCTTTTCAGCAAACGCGTCTGCCTCTCCTCCGAGGATGCTGAATACTATAAGTTCATCGATCAATCCTCTGCTCATACTCTCCTCATTCTTGGCCTCACAACAGCGCTAGGGATATCTAGTGTATCCCCAGCGGCTCAGGTAACTTTCCACTTAATCAGTCCGAGATCCGTTTCGTATCCCTAAACTCATTCAAGTGCCCTCAGGTCAGCATTCCGGGTCTTCTATTCAGCTGCGTGCTGATTGGCCTACTCCATGCTGTCGGTTAACCTTCTCGTCGATTATGCTGAATTGCAGTTATTTATCTTATTGTCCAGCTGCCACGATTCGTTTACAGACTTGCATGATGGGCGCTGATGAATGTACCGCCCTGATCTGTAACGAGTGTCGGTTATGGTTCACAACCTCCTCAACTCCTCCGTGGGGATTTTATGAGGATGTGCGCTGCTCATTGTTATGCTCCCAGAGTTAAATTTTTTCCACTACTTATCACGTTGTTAACAAATCTGTCCATGCTGATCTATGCTGTCGGGTGTCGTGATCCTAGTTGATCTCTCCCATCTCGCACAACATTGGATTCAGCCTAATCATGCGGAAACATCTCTTTTATTCTAAGGTGGAGCATCACAGTAGCAACTATCCAGGATCGTCAAGAGCACGCAATCCTGTGTAGTTCGCGCTGCCGAGGTATCTTATCCATCATCGAAGATATTGTCTGTATGAAGAACGCAAGTGGAAAATGTTGTGTTGTCGCATTGGAGAGCAAATTTCTCGTGAGGAACTGCCTGCAAAGTACTTGAACGATAGAAAAATATCTTCACCATGTCGACTTGACATTGTCGAGTGATGAGCTGCTACTATGGTTCAATTCTAATCCCACACCAATAACTACTGGTTAGTTTGATGATCAAACTCTCATCGTTAACTACAGCATTTCCAACATTCTGGCAGAATTTTCAATGATCTACCCATTTCTCTTGGACAGCGGCAGAATTGACCATTCACCATAGTTACTGTATCACTGTGAGCAATCATAATACGTGATTGTACTTGTTGCATAATCACTAGCTGAGCTGAGCTATTATGACTCCTTCGATGAATCGAAGTTTGGTAGTAGCAGTGGAGTCACCACCATCTAGCATCTCTGTGGTATGAGAGTCGATCCATTTATGCGCTTTTGTAGGAAGTTGTTCCAATAGAATTCTATCGCATTAAGGAGAACAGAGTATGGTCCCAGCTTGAGTATGTGTATACGAACAGGCCGAGTTACTCGCCATGATAAGCGTGCGACGCACGCCGTGCGCTGCCGATTTGGTGTCATTCTGCTGCGGTAAATGTAACACCACTCCACGAGCCGAGAAACTGTAGCGGACGAGGGAGCCCTCACTATCCCCTGGCGTGATATGCCAAGATCGAGACGGGCGTGATGCCGAAATCAACCTCCTCTTGCTGCATTTAGTAGCGGTAACTTTCCTGTGTCAGTCTCCATTACTTCGGGATGACCACCCACACTGGCTAGAACCCGCTAAGAGGACCAGTAGAACCGCATCAAATCCAAACTCCTCTGAAATTCACCTCATAAGCGTTTCTGGCAGCCAGAGTGAGGCCGAGCCAGAGTCTGGCTCGACCTCACTCCGAAGCCCTCTGATGAGACAAAACTAACTCGACACCTCCCGTTGAACAAGGAAATCGTACTGGAAGCGCAATTTGGCCTCGGACTAGCACCCGAGACGTGTAATTACCTCAGACTCGGGTACTCAAAATATCACGGGAGTATGCGCTATTAGCGCAGCGCTAATACTCCAGAAGACTCCAGCAACTTCAGGGCATCGAGTATATTATATCTGCACATGCTGATTCAGCTCACTGCTCTGACATGACACTACCGGGATGCGTTCACGAACATCGACACAATTATTGCATATCTGCGGGAGAAGCTTCACACAAGCTCGAGCGGAACAACAGTACTGGATTCAATCACTGACAGCGCGATAATTATGCTAAGATCCTACAACGAGCATATTACCTGGAGTATGAGGCCCTAGTGCCTTCTCGTATAGAAGTAAGGATCCCTCGGTTCTGTTCTCTGTGGCAAATGTACGGGGGAGGGGATGAAAGGATTATCATGTGATGAGACTCGAGGTCTTCCGGGTGGTGGGGGTGGTGGAACAGGTGATGAGATAGTCCGCTGACCGACGGTATCCCAAGGAACAGGGGTACTCTGGTCCACTTCATCATCCCATGCGATGGGGTCTTCTGCTTGTATACGTTGTAGCTGAGGAAGCCGCCAGGGATAAGAGATGAGTTGAAAGATGCTACCAATGAAGAGACGCAGTGGGTAGCTTGTAGCTACTAGCTTTCGATGGTTTAAGTTGGGTTCAGAGCACTCACGCGCAACAGCTTACTCCGGGATTATTTCTCATCAGATATTCTCCGTGGAAACGGTGAGGACTGCGACTGCGAGACAACGGACGAGTTCGGCTGTCGGCGTGAGATGAGGGTCTCCGTCGAGATCGGCTCCAACTGAAAGCGTGAGGTGATACACTCAGGGGGAATAAGCTACGAAATCCAGCAGCCGAATATTTACTCACAAGATGAGAGTGAAACTCCGTTGCTGCCACTATCGGAAGGACAAGAAGACTCGTATTCAACGACACAGTCGCCCGTGATTCATAGTTACCACTCACCTCCTTTCGCTCAGTCCATCTGTCTCCTGCTTAGGCATGATGGATGGCAGAGGCGAAGAGGCGGGCTCAACAGAACGGAACATGGCGACAACAACCGGATCCTTCATTGCTTGCCGCGCAGCCTGATAACAAAGGAATCTATCGGGAGGCATGCTGGACGTGTGGAAAGGCGAGTTTAAGTCCAAAAAAATCATGATCGATGAGCATAATACGCGCTCGATATGAATGTTGGTCATGATAGCGTTGCAGCAACGCTATCGATATAACGTAGCAGCTACGTCATATCAAGTATATCTACAACGGAACAACCGGAATTCTGTTTTTTGGATGCAGCTCAGCTGTGCTTATCGGTTTCGATGCCTCCTCAAGTAGCGCTTACCTGAGATATAAGTTCCAAACGTTCTTCAGGCCTAGCGTCGCCCTGCATAGCCTCAGCAAATCTCTCGCCCAAGGCATGGTACGCCCGTACCGCATCGGATACCAATGGATCGCTGGTGTCCGTTCCGGCTCTGTATACAACGCCACATTTCCAACGTCCACCCTCCTCTGTCCTGTATTGCTTCTGTGGCGGGGCCATAGCCAGGGCTACGGGTACATCATGAATAGCCCTACCATAGAGTGAAGAAGCATTGATGTTCCCGCACATCGTAAGGGGTGTCGGTCATCCCCTTAGGTGACAGGAATACTCGACGATGCTGATATATTCCGTACCAAAATTTGAACACACAAACTGGATTGGAGACTCACGAGTCGAAATAGGAACTCTGATTCGCATGATGCTAAATTCACCGAAGTCTCTCGATCAAATTAGCTGTCAACCCTGAGACTCCTGGGAGCAGTGCTGCGGAAAAAATGTTCGCTTTCCTCAGCTGAGCTCAATATTTTCCTCACTTATCATAGGAACTAATATACGAATTGGGAGAATATACGAGAAATGTGCAGAAACTAACGAGAATTATCCAAGATCTCCTCAGAGTCTCGATACTGTCACCAACACATGTGGTTGACCGAGTGCATATTACACCACACAGCCTGAAAGTGTCGCAAGACAATAACTTACTGGAATATGATGTAGTCGCTGCCGGCGTCTTCCCGAAAAGTAGAATGTCGTTCACCACAAATGCTGTCTACGATGCGATCCCCGAAATGGAGACGAGCAAGCCTCTCGAGAAGTCGAACATAAATCTGGAATGTGGATGGATCGGCAATCGGAAACCAGAATATTGCTTGGTCATGATTTTGAGGTGCACCTAAGGAAGTAATTCAGATTCCAGTCACGCCGGAGCTCTCTCTTCACTAGAGCGAACATTGAAATCCGGTCAGACGAGCATAAAAGAATTAAGAGTTTATGATGTTCCTCACGTGTAGTTGCGGTCCTCCATACTCCCCGATCGTCCCAAACAAGTTGAACGTATGACATGTACAGCTCGAAAGGGATCTAATTCTGAACAAAACCATCAAGACAACTGTAGCCATAAATCTACCAAACTCAGGGATATTCGTAACCTAAATACCATAGATGAAAGAAGCATGTCTACGAGTACATAAACATTGCTCGGTCTCAGATATCAAATATTTCCCAGCGAGATTGAAGATCTAGGGTCTATTTTCAAAGTCCCCTAGAGGAAGGACGTTTTGGAGTGTAAGAAACTCCTATAACGGAATGTTTTCGAGGAGCATAACCTCGATCAAACTATTTTGCTTCACAGAACTAGACCCCTCATACCTCAACAAATTTGTTAAACTTCTTAAGCCAAATAGATCGCTAAAAATAGGTGTCGGGCTGGGAATCGAAACCAGGTAACTCCCTTGAGGCACTCACAACAATTCATATAGCGCGCGTGAACCGCACATTGAAGATACCACTGAACCACTTTCACTATGGCATCCGTGGAAAGCAACTCCGAAGATATGATAAACGTTGAAGAGGCTCAAGATCTCTTCAACAGAGATCCACAAGAGAATCAAATGACGGATCTCTCAACATGGACGGATTCAAAAGCTTCAGTTTGAATCTGGATGGCGAGTTTCCGCTAACTTGGGATGAAATTTTCGCCAAGAAAACTGCGAAATCCTCCTATCCCCCCTCTGGAGGGGTGAAGACCTTTCAGCTCAAATCTTGGAAACCGCATTTTGGAAGACGTTAAGACTTCTTGATGGGATTATCGAGTGCTTTTGCCACATGAAGCGCTCTCAAGGGAGTGCTCCTTAGCCCGCGAGGTGCAAGTAGATGAAGGAAGCCTCCTTTAGGTTACTATGGCGGCCTTAGGAGTCGGGATTAGAAAAAAAAACAGCAATTACATGCTTGAGAACTTCAAAAAGTTCTCTTCAAGGGAAGTTGTGAGATAGGCTCCCTGCGGATTTTTCTAAGAATGCGATTTCACGTGTTGTTGTGCCTTTGATCGAGCTATGACCAATATGTTAACACATCCAAGTTTTTGTGGAAACAGAATTATGCAAGTCTGACGTGGAAGATTATAGTGAGATCATCATCCAAGTCACAGTCAAACAAGTAGTTCATTTCGTAGTTGTTCAAACAAAGTTTTCGCAAGTGTCAACTATTTTTAGCACTTTTCAGGAGGGAATGATCCGCGCGCGCCGCATATTTCTTCAGCACGCAAAACCAAAAATGGGGGGTTACCTGACAACGCTGACTTTAGCATTTATCTCATTAAGTCGTTGCTGTACAGATGCCTCTTTTTCTCGTCAGCTTTAAGTGAGATATTACATAAGCAGAATAGTCAGTACTTCGGAAAGTTATTATTTCTATCAGATAGCGCCTTCACACATGTTCAACGTTCCCGAACAGGCCTTTAACCCTGAATCTAGGGTCCGTCTGTGAGGATCCTATACTGCTAGCCAACCCGAGAAATGCTCACCGGGGTTTCATTCTAGTTCACGATGGGAGTTGTTCACCGAATACGTTCCATCTGGAAGCAGACTCTTCTGTGGACCAGATCGACATCGAGCTTCTGATACGACATGACCATCATAGACATGTAGGCATGACGTTAACGAGTTTTGCCAAGGAGAATCGCCCAACGCTTTCAAACCAGCGACGCTCTTGCGGTTATGAAATTTATCAGAAAATCTAAATTTTCTTGATAAACTCCTCTACATTTTCCCGTCGTGGACGTATTTGTTGAGTTATATTGTCTTTTAAAATTTGGGAAGGCGTATACGATTATTTCATCATTATGAAGGGCTACTTTGTTATTCGCACTAAATGGCCCCTCCTGTAGCCACTGCAGTAGACGGACCCTCGAAAGGTCCGGAATCGTCCACGAAGTCAGGCGGTCCTTCGGTGAGATCTGTGGTGGAGAAGATTCTCTATCTCAACGCACGGAAACATGTCCGACAAACTATGGAGAATCATTGGGATATCAACGATCCCGACGTGGCTGATATGGTCGTTCATTTGGCGAGGGAGAGTCGGAAGGAGGGGAAGGACAGCTCTCAGGTAGGAACCAAAGGCAAGCGTGTTCGGGAAGTGTTCTCTTTCCTATACCAAATTCTGGATATCTGGGTTAAACTATAGAAATTTGGAGGAGATTATGGAAATTTCGAATTGTTTATTAGAATTCCGATTTCACTAGAGGAATTTCGGAAAGAGTATACAAATTTGGAGTATACTAGAGAAATTTCCGAGAAGGCTGTGGAAATTTCGAGTGTCGAATAAGTGAATATTGCGAACTCAGCTGACGCGGTCTACTAGGGAAGACGTGATGGCGTATGCATTGGAGTCATATCACTTCCCTCTCTATATAGTGCAATGCTCTCATTTCATGCTAATTCGTGTATTTATGGTTTAGAAAGCTGACCCTGTTGATACCTTTTGTGAGAAGCTCGAAGGCGTTGGTGCTGAGACATCGCGGAATACGGCGGATATACTTATGGGTAGTAGAGTGAGGGGAGTCATGTGAATCATCGAAACGAATATTATCGTGCCTAGGTTTGTTATTGTACGAATTCAGTATGGGAAAATGTGCAGATGGTCAACTGCATGTATCGGTGACAATATGAAAATTTTGGGAAATTCTTGTTGGTCTCTGAACACTTCTACCGCAAATAGTCTCCCATAATCAGCCCTGAGCTCAGCTGAGGAGAGCGAACATATATTTCAACACTGTTCGAATTCGTAGCCATCTGGTTCAAATGCGACTTAGGTTTGTTGTTGATATTTTTATGAGGAATCCTCTTCCTCGAGGATGTCGAGGTCGCTCCTAAGACCATGTTGTTCAACCTGGGCTTATATGTAGGTATTGTGAATCGAATCGACGGTATCATAGACCGTCTAGCGCCTTCCAGGTCCCCGAGATCGGCTGGTATGCGTAAGAGGGCTCTTAGTAGTGACAGTAAAGGTAGTAGTAGCATCGGATTTTTATTTTGGTAGTTTTGGATTTTCCAGATAGTGGCGCCTTTCCGGGCTTGTGTATTCACAATGAAACTACTAAGGACAGGCCCGAACTCAAGCTCGAGAGGTAGGGCATTTTGTGGAAATCTTCGCTGTGCGTAGATATCTTGCGTAGACCTGAGGAGCGAGATGGGATCGCGCCGCTGTCCACTACGGCTGAGCATCTAATATTGGAGGAAATGCCGTATAGGGAACGTGTCAAATTTGAGAGGGAGAAGAAAAGGAGGGAACATGAGAGATCGTAGGTTATGCCTAGGGACCTATGAGCTCACCAGAGTTGTTCAGAATGGATAGAAAGCTGGATGACTATCATAGACGAGATCATCGCCGATCGAGGAGTCGCTCGAGGTGTGGTATATGATTGTCTGTAGTGAATGAGCATAATTAAATCAGATCTCGGGATCGTCGTCGTCATCATCACGATCATCGCAGTAGGTCGCGGTCGAGGGATGAGCGTAAGGGTAATATCCATACTTGTCGTGGATGAGAACCTTATGGTTTCTCATAGGCGCTCCTACAAAGAGGAGTTCAGATCTGCAGCCGTTGGAGTTGTATACTATTCACCGAGGCACGGTCCAACGCGTAATGGAGTATGGGTGCTTCGTGGCCTTCCGGACACAAGAGGGAGAAAAGGAAGGGCTTGTTCACGTTGGTATGTTGTTGTTGTTGTTGTTGTTGTTGTTGTTGTTGTTGTTGTTGTCGTTGTTGTCGTTGTTGCTGTTGTTGCTGCTGTTGTTGTTGTTGTTGTTGTTGTTGTTGTTGTTGTTGTTGTTGTCGTTGTTGTCGTTGTTGCTGTTGTTGCTGTTGTTGTTGTTGTTGTTGTTGTCGTTGTTGTCGTTGTTGCTGTTGTTGCTGTTGTTGTTGTTGTTGTTGTTGTTGTTGTTGTTGTTGTTGTCGTTGTTGCTGTTGTTGCTGTTGTTGCTGTTGTTGCTGTTGTTGTTGTTGTTGTTGTTGTTGTTGTTGTTGTTGTCGTTGTTGTCGTTGTTGCTGTTGTTGCTGTTGTTGCTGTTGTTGTTGTTGATCCTTCCAGTCAACCCCAGAAGGTTTTATACAGGATTTGACCCATTCGGTTCACAATCTTCAAAAACCGTCACGTTCCATCTGTCCATTTATTTATTTTTTCTTTTCTCTTCTTTTTTTTCTTGTGGAATGCCGTAGTGAACTCACGAGTTTATTATTAGTAGTTTTATCGTAGGTGAGATCCTCCCGGCTTCCTCGGCTGGTCGTTCGCGCATGAGCGCATCGGACTTGGTGAAGCGAAACCAAAGCGTGTATGTGAAAATAGTTGGCCTTGCAGGTAGTATGCATAGATACTCGTGTGCTAATCGGGTGATACTGCATTTCACGATGTGTACTGGAGTTTCACCCGCGATATGAAAAACACTAGTGAAAAACATATTTCTAATTTTACTTCGCGGAAAACAATTGTTTTATCGGTCACGAAGGCATAAAGTTTACATGGAATTCAACGCCACTCTATGTTGAACGGGTGGAACTTCATTGGAATTTCACCCGTGATATGAAAAGAACTAGTGAAAAACGTATTCTAAGGCCCCTACTGCATAGTGAAAATAACGCGTTTTTCACGGAGTTTTACGCTACTTCACGTAAAACGGGTGGAACGAAATTATGCGTTCTTTTCTGACGCATTTACCAACCTGTGGAGGGAAAATCTAGTTATGGAGAACCTTAAGAGGTGTGGCCCTCAGAAAGATACTGTGATGGTTCGCATAGTGATACATACTGAGAAGTTCTCAGTGAGAACTTAGTGTCTACTTAGTCTACCTCGTCCACTTAGTGGTTATCAGTGAGAACCCACAGGGAAGAACGTCCTTCCCTGAAATTATACTCAGTACCGTTGCTATCTCGAATACGTGTTGGTAAGAAGGCGCTCATCGGAGGGTTATAGTGGAGTGTGTCGAGAGCATTCACGACTATAGGATGTGATGCTCAGGTAGTAAGATTAGTCTATCCATGCGAGAAGCTGACCAGAAGACAGGGGAGGACCTCAGGCCGCGGAACTCTTCCTCGTCCAAGTCGATCCGTCCGGGCGACTCGGCTTATCACGGCGCTAATTCGGTAGTGTGATATAATCGAGATTAGAATAATACGTGCGTCATCTCAGATTCCCATTGGTCGGGCTACGACTAACGCTGCGGCCCGGTCGGGTATGGGTGCCCAAACTGGTATTCGTTTGGACCTTGACCAGAGTGGTGGTGGTAGTAGCAGCAGCACTGGACGGCAGACTAAACCGTAGGAGGGGGGCCTGGAGTTATACAGCGGAGTTTCACCCGTTTTACGTGAAGTGGCATAAAAAAACCGATATTCGCCGTAGTGAAATATGTTTTTTCAATACTGTTTTTCATATCACGGATAAAACTTCAGTGTGAGCTGAACTGATATTGGAAGTCATATTTCCTAAGATAGCTTATTCGACGCAAGACGAGAGCTGTTTTTAGAGCATTGTCAATCGATTCACATTGTTGTCATTTTTATGGTTATTGAAGTTGGTATTAGAAAGGATGTTCCTGTTTGCTTCACACTGTAGACCATCTGAATTTGTAGTAGGAAAATATGCACATGAGCAACCACATATGTTGGTGATAATTCTGAGAAAATTTTGAGAGAAATTCTCGTTGATTTCTACCCGGATCCGTGGATGAAATCCTGTAATTAGTGAGGAAAATGAGCTTACGAAAACAAACATATATTCCAATACTGTCACAGTATTTGAATATGAAACCGGATATAAGTAGTATACAACTATATAGCTTTTATATTGCTTTTTACTACAGCACAGTATTACTGTGCTAGACCGTCGAGTTTCAATTGTCTCAGACATTTGAACGATTATGAATTATGGGAGGCTCGGCAACTAAGGGCCTCTGGGGTGCTTGATGCTAGTGACATGCCTGACTTCGATCCGAGGAATAGAGAGGAGACTAAGGAAGAGGTAATGTTATTGAAACCATAAGAGGAAAAGTCATCGGTGGCGTGATACTTGGTGAAAAACGCGATATCCTGAGCCTGCAGTAGTCGTGAAATAGGTTTTTTTTCGTATCACGGGTGAAATTTGATTGTATTAGGTTGAACTGGAAGTAGCCGACACTGAGCCGAAGTTCCTGGCTGGCCAGACTGCCAAGACTGGGGTCATTCTCTCGCCGGTACGTATTGTTAAAGAACCTGATGGAAGTCTACAGGTAATGTTCATGACAAATATGGAAGGCCTGTTGGAACTGTCATTCTGTCGTACAGTGTAAGAAAGTGTGCACTTGATTAACCACATGTGTTGGGGACAATATGGTAATTTTGAGAAGTTATTGTTGGTTTCTAAACACTTCTACCCGAATCCATGGTCACTGAGGAAACTCCTGAGCTCAGCTGAGCAAGGCGAACATATCTCCAACACTGCTGTAGTCGATGCGGGAATATATGTTTGTTTTCTTCATTCGGGCGAGAGTGTGCAAAAACCATCGACAGTTCTCTGCAACCTCCTCAGATTTCCTTAATTGTCATCAGCACATGTAGTTGACCATGTGCATATTTTCCCACACACGTGTCGATGAAGTTTTTCTTGCATTCAGCGAGCCGCTATACAGCAAGCGACTTTGGCTCAAGAGCGTCGTGAATCTAAACAGGCCATGCAGGAGCAAGTCATTAAGGCTATCCCGAAGGATATGAGCAGACCATGGGAGGACCCTAACCCACATCAGGGCGAACGTAAGTGGTCCGTGGCTATCATCGTTAGTCTTCGGTGAGGGGTGTCGGGTGGTGAAGTATACTCATTATGGATAGTTCAATTTGGGAATTCTTGAAGTTTACATGTTTTCGTGTCTTGGACTGAATTTTTCAAACGACTAGGATGAGATGTGGAAATGGGGAGTGGTTCATATCGCTTCGTCGTGGTTGATGTATAGAATTAGGGATGAGTTACGAAGCATACTTTCTGGTTCTAGGTACTCTAGCACAGAACTTGCGTAGTATTACGATGAACAGCGCATCGCAGAACCAAATTCGGAAGCACGGTGGTAAGCAGATAACAATTAGGTTCGTTCTGACTTGAATTTTTGTGGTATTAAGCCCCCACTGGAGTTGCCTATGGTCAACGTTCGGCCCTGCCGATGCGGGAACAACGCGAGGGTCTGCCGATTTTCAAACTGCGTAGTCAGCTTTTACAGGCTATGGCTGAGAACCAGGTGAGAGTTGTACGCTGTTTAGGATTTCAAATTGGTATGTAGGTTCTTATTGTCATCGGTGAAACTGGCAGTGGGAAGACCACACAGATGACGCAGTAAGTCTGAGATGATTATGTGGGGTGGACATTTAAGTGTTGGCATAGTACTGTGAGTTACTTGAGGAACTGGCACGGTTGTGAGTGGTGAAAATAGCGCTTGCCTGAATATCAGTGAAACGGTTACGAGAATTATCTATTCCTCTTGATATAGTATCTGCAATGTGACTGGCTCTCGGCGGCTTCAAATTCAGAGGGAAACTGTCCTTGTTGGAAGAGAAATCGAAAATTCCGGGGTTTTCTCAAGAAAATGGCACGCTGCTCAGATATATGGCTGAGGCAGGGTACGCCGACCATGGGATCATAGGTTGCACTCAGCCGAGGCGTGTGGCTGCTATTACGGTCGCTAAGCGTGTCGCTGAGGAGTATGGATGTCGGCTGGGCCAGGAGGTCGGATATACGATTCGGTGAGGAGCTTTGACATGCTGTATTTCTTGACCGTGCCGATATCAGATTTGAGGACCACACATCTCCGGAAACTCGGATAAAGTATATGACCGATGGTATGCTCCTTCGGGAGGCTCTGGCTGATCCTCTGTTAAAGAAGTATTCAGTGATTATGTTGGACGAGGCACACGAGGTAGGGCGGCTCCTGGTGGGTTTCGGTGACTTTATTTTTCTTAGCGTACGATTCACACGGATGTACTGTTTGGTCTGTGTAAGGAGGCAATCAGAGAACGCAATGACCTCAAGCTTATCGTCACGAGTGCCACTCTCGATGCTGAGAAGTTCAGCCGATATTTCTTCGACTCGCACATTTTCACCATTCCGGGCCGTACATTCCCGGTGGAGATCCTCTACTCGAACGAGCCAGAGGAAGACTACGTTCAAGCGGCGTTGATGACAGTGATGCAGATCCATCTCACTGAACAGCCTGGAGACATATTGGTCTTCCTCACTGGTCAAGAGGAGATCGATACGGCGTGTCAACTATTGGATGAACGGATGGCTCAGTTGGCGCCTATGAATCCACCACCACTGATTCCGATGGGAGTGTAGGTTGGGTCTAGGGCGGAATTTGACGTAGATGTTTGTCAGTGTGTGGGGGGAATATGCACTACATGTGGTGGTGACAGTAAGGTTGCTTATTGGTTTCTGTACACGAATTTGTATATAAACTCCTGAGCCCAGCTGAGGAAAGCAAAGAAACGTATATTCCAACACTGATGGTTGTTCAGATATGCCGCGCAGCCATCGGAGGTTCAGTCCAGTATCTTCGAACCGGCTCCGCCTGGGTCGCGTAAGTGTGTGGTAGCTACTAACATCGCGGAGGCCTCTATCACGATCGATGGTATTTACTTTGTTGTTGACCCTGGATTCGCGAAAATCAAGACGTAGGTTCATCTCGTCTTCCCACGGTGTTTTCATTGGTTTTTGTTTAGATTCAACGCGAAGACCCAAATGGACGCCCTCATTGTGACGCCGATTTCACAGGCCAATGCTCGGCAGCGAGCCGGTCGTGCTGGTCGAACTGGTCCGGGCAAGTGCTACCGTCTCTACACTGAGAAGGCCTTCCGCACGGAGATGCTCCCGTCAGCAGTGCCTGAGATCCAACGTTCTAATCTCTCTAATGTGGTCCTCACGCTGAAGGCTATGGGGATCAACGATCTTCTCGGCTTCGACTTCATGGATGCTCCGCCGGTCCAAACTTTGATCAACTCACTGGAGGCACTGTGGCAACTTGGTGCTCTCGATGACGAGGGACTTCTGACCAAACTTGGCAGGAAAATGGCAGAGTTCCCCATGCCCCCGGAGGTAGCTTGAATGGGTGGTGATGATCATAGGATGATGTTGTCCTTGTCTTCAGCAATCGAAGATGCTACTGGCTTCGGTTGACCTTGGCTGTGCAGATGAGGCCATCACTGTTGTGGCTATGTTGTCTGTCCAAAATGTCTTCTACCGTCCGAAAGATAAGCAGGCCGTAGCTGATCAGAAGAAGAGCAAGTGAGTCCCTCTTGTGGAGTCATTCTTTGATGTTATTTCTGAGACTTATAGTGATAGTAGTCTCATGCTCTTTGAATGGTGGAGTTGCGACATACCATATCAGCAAGGCGACTGCTATCGAACCTGAGCTCGTTGATATGTTACGCTTCGCAGGTTCAACTCTCCTGAAGGGGATCATGTGACTTTGCTTGAAGTATACAAGGCGTGGTCGCGGAACAGATTCTCGGCACCTTGGTGCTACGAAAATTTCATTCAAGTCAGGAGTTTGAGGAAAGCACAAGATGTCCGCAAGCAGCTTATTGGTGAGTACACCTCCGTAGAGACCATCATAGTTTCGCTTAGGTATCATGGATCGATATCGACTGGAGATCAACAGTTGTGGTCAGGATTACAATAGGCTACGTCAAGCGATTGCTGCTGGGTGGGACAACCGGTCGGTTTCAGTGTTGTTCATCGTAAGTTGTAGGTACTTCAACAACCTGTGTCGTCGTGATCCTAATGAGGGCTACCGAGTCATGCGAGATCTTCAGCAAGTCTATATTCACCCTTCTAGTGCACTGTAGGGTGTTGCCCATGGTGTGGTATGTTTGATTGGAAATTGTCTTGTAGATACCAGAAGAATCCCGAGTGGGTTATTTACTATGAGTTGGTCATGACCACTCGAGAGTACATCAGGGAGGTGTGCACAGTGGAGCCGGAGTGGATGCCGAAGATCGCCCCTAACATGTTCAAACAGGCCGACAACCGTGGAATCAGCAGGATGAAAGCGAACGAGAAGATCGAGCCTCTATACTCAAAGTAAGATCAGCTCTATTGGGTTGTGAGGAAGCCCACGCTGTTTTCTAGGTATCATGATCGTGATGCTCTGCGTACACTGGCAAGAAGGAAGTGTTAGTGAGGAAACACACCCTTTTATTATGAAAGTTGAAACATCATCAAAACTGAAAGAAGACGTCATTACACTATAGGCCGTTGCGTTATTGAGTTCACTGTGCACGGGCACTATACTCTTGAGATCAACCGTATTGAATTAGCTGACTGGAAATCCTTCAGTCGTTTGTATAGGAAGCATGCAACGGAGGCACAGCGGATTGACTCCGGGTTCCTCCCGATGTTTCGACGAGAATCGGGTCTCGACTGTCCATCCAACGGCCGTGAGGGTCATGTCTATGCGAATGCTCGTTGTATTGTTTGTGAGTAGAAAGATGCTGAACTTCGTTTCGACAAGGCTGTTGTCGATCAGGCCGTTTTCCCTGTGGGGGGTATTGTTTTAGCATATTATTATGCTGTGACTTATGATCAAGTAGGATAAGGCCACCAGTATTCAGTCGATCGTATCCCTATGTCTGATTAGGTTAGATATCCGTATCTGTACATTTCGACCGTCATACAGTGGGACCCGTCAAGAATCTATGGGGGCTTCGGCATGACTATGGTGAGACCTTCTCAGCCCTTGGGACTATATTGTCTGTTTTTCAGGCCGCGGTTCTGTTCGGATTCTTCGCGTATGCTCGGATGGCCTTCGTAGAGTATCGTATAGAAGCGAATGATGTGTGGACTCACAGATGTCAAACGATTACTAAATTCTCTACTTTCACAACGATTCTCGGCATGGTCGGAGTAGCGTGTATACCCTTCTATCGCATGCCGGTCACCCACCTTGTTTTTGCCGGGACATTCTTTGTGTCCGCAATGGTCGTTGCTATTTGTGCCACCTACGTTGATTATAAAGTTTCTGGAGGGTGGACAAAGATGATTAGGCTCCGCGCTCTCCTTGTCTGTTGCGCATTGCTGTTCTCCGTTATCTTGGGCCTGGTGGTCCTCTTCTGGCCTTTCGTGGGATCAGTCATGGAAGTCCTAGCGGTTTTGGCCTGCTTTCTATTCGTTGCGACGTACGCTGTCGATATGGGGACTATGACCTGGTTGTTAGTGTGCGACGTCGAAGCAATGCAGAGTGTGGCTTCAGTGCAGTTGATCTGGACGGCTTTGATTAGCTTTCTGGTCTTCTACGATCCGTTGCAGTGTTACAGAAGTTTTCTCTCAAGTATGTATCATTCTATAAGAGTGAGTGTTTCGTTAGAGATTGTCTGGATTTCATCCAGTCCGAAAACAGTACGTATCAGAGCACTTCAACGTACTATACAAGTCCTGAAACAAATGACACAGCACATATAGACAACATGTTCGAATAGAAATACTAAGATCAACTGTTGCTTTCAATGAATCAGAATAGTCTCGTCCTCGAGATATTCGAACAAAGAATAGAGACGAGACGGACGATCGAATCACTGGCGAACTGCCGTTTCCAACCTACGGCTTGAGTCGCGATTGCTCGAACCTGTCATTATCAATCGCGCAAGTTCATTCTCGGTAGGGTCACGTCCAACTCCTATGAAAAGCATTCGCACTCAGGGAGCTCATCGTCTCTTAGTCTCGAGTTATTATCTTCGTCCATGAAGAGCTCGACGCTGATATGCGCCTGTTTTGCACTCACCGCAGTAATCGGAAAAAGAATCCGCGCGCCTTCACATATTTCACCGGACGGCTTGCCCGAAGAAAAAAGAGGAGCAGTCAATCGCACAGCTTCCGAGCTCGAATACAGGCCATGGACGCCTCTCGATGGATTTATGAACAAGAAAACTCTGACAGCCGAGGGAACGCGAAGGTTTGTCGCGATCGACCCGATTGCTCCCTTATCGGACGTGAGTTCCGGTCGAAGATGAATTTCCAGTCTTCCACGTTTCAGAATATTGTAGGGTTCGTGGACTCGAGGGAGGAACCGCCTGATGACATGTGGTTAACACAGTAAGGCTAGGACCGATCTTCTGCTCATTTCGTCCACAGGATTATCAATGCTCCTTCCGTTTCGATCCTCAGATCAGAGGATGAAACGCACGCTATCTGGATTCTTATATCCTATGTCGTGGTGAGGGACGAATGGCAGGGGAAAAAGGTGGCCTCGACGATGCTACCAAAGGCGATCCAAGATGTAGGTTTTACTTGCGAGACCATTACCGGAGAATCGCTCGTATACTGAGGTTGCTATCTCGCTTCGTAGATCCATTCGACGTGGCCCTCGGCGATCGGGGTATATCTTTCTGTGGAACTCAGGAACGAGTTTGCGATCAAGCTTTACAGCAGACTCAACTTCACTCGTGTTGCTGGTGAGTGGAAAACCTCACAATTTCCATAAGCAACCGTTAAACGATTGGACTTGCTGAATAATCTCCAGTGATGGTTCGTTAATTGTGTTTCCTCCACCCTACACCATTTCGATAGTGACTCTAGTAGATTCCCTCTAGTGAATTCCGCAAGCAATTTTTTGTCGTGATGTTGTTGAGCACTACTAGATGATCTGCTACAATCTAGGCTGTTTTACCAAGGAATCCAGTTGCTCTGATTTGACGGGGTCTGAGGTTCCATAAATTGCTCTGGAGAATCATTAATAGTGTTTGAGATGCATCATATCGCTCTGGAATTTCACTATGTTCGTCAGAGGTTCATTCAGTGAGGTCGTGAAATTGTGAAAGGTCATTCTTTTTTTCCTGGATGTCGTTAATACTCTCTCTGAATGTCAGGGAGCGGAGTGCAGTTGTGGGTCTACAAATTCCCTCCCGAGTCGTCATAATGTTGACGAAAGCATGCAATGATGATCAGCTGCACCATGCCGAACCATATGCTCAGTTGTAACCTTGCTACTCCGGTCCTTGTTCTGCATTGACTTCTCACTGTTCAATGCAATCGCCATATGTAGCCATATTACAATGATTTGTACTTAGAAGATTCTCACCAGAGACCGATTGATGTGCTATGCTCAATGCAGTCAATTTCCAAATCAAAAACTCCTTTGAATCTCACTTAGATATACGAATCTTAGCTAACAAGTGAACGATATTGAAAAGACTTTCCGTGCGTACACGATCGCTGTGTAGATCTGACCGACTGCATAATCATCCTGCAGACTGCAAGTTGTGTTGTATTGTAGATCTCCTGGGTACCGATTCGGTGGTCGAGTCGTTGGCATGATACGGATTATGGCTTCGCGAAGAGATAATTCCTCTAATATCGTTCCAGGCAATACCGACCCACTCAGCCACTCGAATTAGCAGCCCATAGCAGCGCGGCTACGCCACTCACGTGGAGGCGAATGTTGCCGCAACACTAACATCAGCGACAACCGTCTCCTCAAGTGAGAGCTCAATTCAACCAGAACTGAAGATTATGAGGAGAGTGCGGAGAGCTCTTCTCGGTATTGTCTCGAAACTATTCGTGATCGAGAATTTCGCATTATCGATCACGATCCCAAGTTGGGGTTCCCAACCCATGTAGGTACTACCTACATCGTATAAGTGTATGTAGTACCTACTAGGTAGTACATACACTTATACGATGTACTATATCAGATCACTGTGAGTCGCACTGCTATTGCGAAGTAAGATATACGCTTAATCTGGAAGAGACAGATACAGTAATTCCAGGAACAGATAGACTCTCGCTCAAAGCGCTTTCCAGCCAGAGAGGAAACGAGACAGACGGCCGAAATAGCGCGCAAGCCATCATTTCCATCCTTAGTCGCGATGACTACCATGTCTCTCGCGCGTGCCACTAATAGGCTGCGCCTATTCTCGTGGCGATGAGCTCATTCTGCCTCTGTACGTCGCGCCTAGTTGCTTTGATTTCATGAGGACTTCACTCCTGATATACACCTCTTCAGCGTACAACACGGCGAGCGGATTGGGAATCAGTGCTCTTCCCCACAGCTCATCCATCAATTTACTTGAAGAAAAGAGCCTGGGCAATCGTACAGCACTCGATCTTGAATACAGACCGTGGATGCCCCTCGACATGTTGATCGGGGAATCAATGCCATTGGTTGGGGGAGAGGAACGGTTTGTCGCGGTTGACCCGGCTGCTCCCCCCTCAGATGTAATTTGATTTCGGAGATATATTTTCAGTTTTTGCCGTCTCAGAACATCGTGGGATACGTAGAGTCGAGAAAGCTACCGCCCACGATCATGCTGTCGGCACTGTAGGGCTGGACTCTGTCTGTAACATGGTATCGAGGGAATATCTGACTGAGTCCTTGTGACTGGATCATCGAGCATCCTCATTTCGCCTATGACGTCTTCACTGTAGATCAAAGGATGAAAAGAACGCTACATGGATCTATATATCCTCTGTCCTGGTGAGGAACAAATGGCATGGGAAGAAAGTGGGCACGACGATGCTGCCGAAAGCGATCCAGGATGTAGGTCTTACTCAAAACAACATCACCCAGACAAACGCTAATACGCTCGGGTTGCATCGTAGATACATAATAGGTGGCCTTCAGCGATTGGGGTATTCCTTGTCATGAATCCCAAGGACGAGGCTGCCGCGATAATTTACGACAGATCCAATTTAACTTTTGCTACTGGTAAGCAGCCTGTTCACCAGAGCAGGATCCATATTCCCTACTACGGTTGATAGACATTTGCATGGAAATTCCGTTACGGAATTCATGCCACGGATGGGGAGTGGCGGATCGGTGTGGTTGAAGCACAATATGGAAAATGAATACTGATGGTTGTTAATTCAGCCATCAGTTATCGTTCTACAGTCGCTTCTCTCACTCTAGGATTTCTCGTCGTCTTGAACATTCCCGTTGAGGCCTTTTCAAATGTCAGTGACTCCGGCCGGGAATAATGTCCTGCTCTACAAATACCCTCCCGAATCGCCGTGATTGTGATGAAATCGCACGATACCCAGAAGATATGCTATGGATGCTCACTAATCTTGTTGTCATGACGTTGGATTGATTCTTCGTGCGGGTTCATCGTTATTCTCACTACGAGCTGTAATGGACCATGCTCTACTAGCCTATCATTAAGGGGATACTTTTTATCATGAATCGTGAAAAGTTACAGTGATAAATGCGATCACCAACCAGCCATTTCAACTCTGAGTTATGATGTTATTCGTAAGGCGAACTGTGAAACAATTGTCAGTATTAGTTTGTTACTACAGAAAGAAACCCCAGAAATAAAGCGTGTATTTGTGCTCTCATAATCATGTTATAATTAGCGTGATAGGTGAAGCAGCCAAGGACAATATCCAAATCGAGCCTATTGATAGTGCTGCGTAGACGCTGAGCAGAGATAGTTCTGCACGGTAACCTCCACGAAAAACACCAATTTCGATATTTTCCGTAGTGATTCCCGTCATCCGTTGCAGAGATGAATAGAATGGCCGTAGAGAACCCGCCGTTCATCTCAGTGTAAACGGACTCAATCCAGTATGTCACCGCTGGCAAGCTCACTTGATTCTCTTCTCCCACACTGCAAAGCAGTAGTCGCCAATATACATCCCAGGAATTAGGACACTCACAGTGCCCAGTGTGGAAACGACTTCGACATCAGATATCGACCAATCATCGTTCAATCACCTCCACTAAGGAACCATGAATCCTTCTACCAATAGTCCGAGAGAATTGATGAACACTGACCAGATATGATGGTGATGAATTGAACTGCATTTTACTGACAAAACATTGTACGCTACTGTATCAGGGGTGCTTCTCCAGATCTAGACAGCCTGGAGCCAAACCTGAGCATTTCGCTCCTAATTTCTCGAACTGGGAAACTCTCCACTGAAACAAGTCATCAATAGAGCATCAACATGTACGGCGTTTCATCGTGCTGCCCCCTCACCTGAGTATGTGCTTCAATAACAGGTATAAAAGCTTGCCTTTCGAGCAGCTTATATGCATTGCGGAGAATTATAGTGAGTGGCTTAGTGAAGACCGGACCTACGCCAGGCTTGTCTGCGCAAAATAGGTCCTGCCCGAGCTCGAGACCCATACCAAAATCTCCTGAAATGTGAATGAAAATGGTAAGTGTCACCGCAATGAGCCAGGCTCACCCTCGTCGTTGCCTATATTAGTCCAGGTGAATATCTCGTCCAATTTGGAGGTGTCTCGTTCGCCTGGTGGTGCATCACGAATCTTGTCCAGGATTCCTTTGAGAGCTTTAGAACTGACTGGAAGCTCCCGATAGCCGACCTGACACATGTAAACGATAAGATCCCATCCCTCAGCATGGCTCGAACCACCTCAGTGTGTTTATCATAGGGGACCAATACACCCAAACCATTGAAGGTCGTCCCTTGTGCCCGCCTCATTCGGCTCTTCCATGCAGTGGTCGACACCTTTAACTCGGCTTTGTCGTGACACAACCTGACAATGTGGGAAAATATGCAGATGACCAACTACATATGCTGTTGACAATATAAAAATTTTCTACCGGAATTCGTACATGAATTAGTGAAGAAACTCCTGAACTCAGCTGAGAAAAGCGAACATATATTCCAACACTGCACCTTGCGAGCGAAAGTGTAGCTTATTGGTTGCAGAGCATTCACTGTCAAGATGATGAGCTCATCTTACGATTCGATAGCAGCCACAATTCCATCGCCCTTCTCATGATCTCTTGCCATATCATAGACAAGGGATAACACAGAATCTGATGCAGCCCGGAACTTGAAGTCATTGGCACGCGAGGCAACCAACACCTATTAGGAGGACGATACTCGACCGAGAAGGACATCGCAAGTCAACTACGCTGATTGGGGAGTCGCCAGGCTTGTCGATGTAGTATGCCCAATGGTGGCCCAGATCCTGCAGGTCTACCATGATCGTGATGATCTCTGGTGGGTCGTAGAAATACCGCCAGGCACTCTGCGCTAAAAAGATATGTCCAGATAACGGGTATATGCAGACCCTCTTCCGATCATTCACTCGGTTCCTGTAGGCTCACACGCAACTACAATGCGAAAGACAACTCCGTAAGGGCCTACACATATCAGTCACAGTCGTAACCTCCTGGAAAGGCCCCACTAGCTTCAGACCAATACACTCGAGTGCAGCGCAAGGGTCGCTCGAGTTGAGCTTGTTACAGACTTCCCAAAGTGTAAAGAAGGAATCGGGCACCTGAGCCGGCCCCATCACACGGTTGATCGCCCGGTTACGCCCACCTCGATGTGGAATTTGTTGCGAATTCTACTGATGGTGCTCTCGTATTTGCTCCCCTCCCTCTTAGAGGCCTTGGGGTTCGATTTTCCCTGCGCTTCCGCGCCTGCAGAACTGAACTCGTTGCGATGCCGCTTGGTGGCCGCCATTTGAATGCAACTTGGCTTCAACGAAGTAAACAGCCTAGCAATTCAAAATTTGGCATCACATAAACTACCAACGAAGTACGAGTGTCATTATCAGTTACGAAACTTGCATCAGTCGCTTCATGCACCACTGAATTGAACCGCTATATGAAACTTTGAATAGCAGGTCAAGTAGAGTCTCATTGAAGAAATTATTAATCTTGCCAATTCATCACCCAACTGCACTGATCAAGGTCCTCAGCCTTTCGCTACACCACCGAGCTGATCACGCCCACCGCTGATTACGCGTACGAGATGAATTTAGACCTACGTTCTTCCAAACTGAGGAAAAGCAAAAGGGGACAACCATTTTCCGGCGGTCCTCAGCAGAATGCGGAAAACTAGCAACAGCGATTACGGTTCCACTTTTCTATTGCGGACTGATTCTTCCAACGTTCGAAATTATCCCTCATCCTTGACATTATCGATCAGCTCCGTCGCCTCCACATGAGACGGTTGATGCACTCAAGCGAGCCTCCGCATCTAGTCCCACCTGAGGTAGGCCAGTAGAATCCCGATTGACTCCAGATGATCAATAGTAGGTGTAATATGTTACGGCTGGTACTATACTGGTAGCTCTGCCCTGCAGTCTGGCAGTCTCAAGACCTGATGTACCGATTACCACGGCTAAGGGTGTATCGGTAGAATAGCGGGACCAATCCCCCTACCCCACACAGCTGAGATTATCACAACACAAGTAAGCTTGTGGAAGGGTGTATAAACGGGTGTTTGATAGTGACGATACGATAACAAAAAGGGTTGATACCAGGAACGTGGAGAATCGATAAAACCTATGCATACAGTCCGCTGGTCCGTTCAGCTTTCCGACTGAGGCGCACCTTCTCCGCAATATCGTCGAAAGCTCTGAGGAAATAACACAATGGAGTTTCACCCGTGATATGAAAAAAACATATTTCACGACAACTGCATATCACCGCGAGTATCGCGTTTTTCACGGAGTATTACGCCACTTCGCGTGAAACGGGTGAAAGTGTACAAATGTAAATAGTATCATCAGTCCTAGCAAAAATCATCGACTTTAGTTTCTTGTGCTGATTACTGGTGACCCAATGAAAAAATAACGAGTACACCTGTCCACCTACTTCTTCTCAGTCTGCAGGTCATCATTACGACATAGTGGACAAGTATTGTGTCGTTCGAGCCACTCCATAATACAATGGTCGTGAAATACATGCCCACACTCTGGCATTTTCTGACGAAAACACATCACAAATACTCGGAGCCTAGACATGATAACAACTCGGCACCCAGGCTCGGTAGGAAAAAATGCACATAGTAAATTACATGTGAGAATTCTGAGGAAATTCTCATTGGTTTCTGTACACTTCTACCCGAGTTCGTATGTAAACTTCCATAATTAGTGGGGAAACTTATGGACTCAGCCAAAGAAAGCGTACATATATTCCTCCAACACTGCCCAGGCCCCAGTCGGTTCGCCCTTGCTTACCTTAGCCTTTGAACCCTGCTTCATCTCCTCCTGGCACATCACACATAGCTCGTCCTCCTCCAGCGTGACCATACGCAATTCGTTGCGTGCTGAACAAAGCCAAGGTGTCCGTAGATCTCCCCGATCAACACATACCATCTCGACTTGCCGGAGGAGCCCCTTGGTCGCCTCCCACGTCAGCCATCACAGCTTGAAGATTATCCAAGTTGATACCCAAGAGGTCCAACAGTTGCTGTTGCTGCTGGTGGCCACCACCACCTGAGGCGAGCTTTCCAGCCACTCTATTTCAAGACCATGCGTACTACAGTGGATCAATTCAATGCGATCATAAACTTTCGATGGAGGAGTAACTCCATCCTACTATCAATAAGGAGCGACGAGCCGCAGAGTGTCTCGAGTGTTGGAATATATTTAGACTTTCCTCAGTTGAGCTTAGGAGGTTCCTTACTCATTACATTACTCAAAAGCCAATACAAATTTCTCAAAATATTGTCACCAACACATGTGCATATTTTCCTCACTTGCCGAAGTACTTCTAACTGCTGCTCGAACTCGGTCCTTCGCCTTCGCTTTAGATTCCTCATCAGATTCCTCCAGTGCTCGAGCAGCCCATTCGTCACAGTCCGGTAAAGTGACATCTAACACGACGCCACCCAAATTCGATACGAAAAAACAGCGGAGCGATGCTTGCCTGCCCGCCCACACGTAAACTGCATGTTAAGGAAGAGCTCCAGGCCCGCTTGCCAGTACACAGCCGCGCTGAACCTCGTGTTGAGGACGGTGAAGGCTCGATGGCACACTTCGACGAAGGCCGCGTCCTTGATAGTTTCGCTGTCATTCGCCATCTCCGATAGCTCTCCTAGTGCGGCAATTATCGCACTCTTGGATGACAAATTTTTGCGGAGCTGTGCTAGACGCACATGATCAACAGACATTATGAAAACTGAGAAACCGTTGATATCGTTCCTTCTCCACTCGAGCCTAGAGAGATATGAAACGTCAGAGTATGCATTCGATATTCACTGGTATCAAAGGCGGCTCTTCTGGCCGAGCATTTACGGGTAACCTGATAGAATGGGATATGATCCCCCTGCTCCTACTAGTAGTACTAGTAGTACTAGTAGTAGTAGTACTACTACTACTACTACCACCACCACCACTACTACTACTACTACTACTACTACTACTACTACTACCACCACCACCACCACCACCACCACTACTACTACTACTACCACCACCACCACCACCACCACTACTACTACTACTACTACTACTACCACCACCACCACCACCACTACTACTACTACTACTACTATAAACATGGTATGACATGAAAAAAATAGTATCAAACGTCGATTATAAATATATGGGTGTTAATTGTAATTACGAACTATTAAATTTTAATAGGATTAAATAACGATATTATGCATCGTGCCCTCATATTGATATCAATATATGTATATATGTACTACTACTTACTTGATACCGCCTATTTCCTCTCTGTGCAAGAGCAACACTGGATGACCGAGTGCACAAAGCGTTCGCCGCACTACTCTGTTCCTTCCACACGTAGTTGTAATCCGAACCATCGAACCTGTGAGTCAATACGTCTTGAACAACGAGGTAATACCAGAAGCTTATCACATCCGTTAGTCGGGATCGAAGACAAGGGATACGCCACTAGTCCGAAAGGGACAGTGTCACCATCGTTGATCGTTTCAAGCCGTGTCACATCAACATGCCCATCTGGTAAGTCTACACCCTCACTCACAACCTGGGTCCAACAGTATTGTCCGATCTACTATCCCTCCCACCTTTTTCATTAACCCTTCTGGCAGCACTCCCCGCACGAGAGCTGCGTATGTTTTATTAATAGTAGAATGCAGTATACGGTTGGTACAGTCTCCATCACTGCTCAATAACAACAGACCGGTCGTGTCACGGTCTAAACGACCTGAGACGAACAATGTGGGGGAAATAATCACATGGTCAACTTCTACGAAAATTTTGAGGAATTTTTCGAAAATCCTTGCTGGTCCCTGGCAATTTCTAGTTCAATTCGTGTGTAATTTCCATAATGTAGTGAGGAAACTCCCGAGCTCAGCTGAGGATACCGAAACATGCATTCCAACACTGTGCTGCAGGAGTAGCAAAGATCGCCGCGACCCTACAGGAATTCTCACCTACAGGATGCAGCCTTCCCCGATCGAGGAACTTCCGGAGACCACTACCAGCGGTGCAAGTAGTCTCCATCCCTCTTGGCTTGAAGAAGGCGAACAAACACGGACTCGCATGAATGCTGCCATCCGACAAACATTGATCAATATCGAGGCTTGGAGACATCAATAAAAACTAACCCTGCATATTACCCCCATCGCAGTTGATTCTTAAGAACTGGTTACAACCCGAGCGAATCTGCCCATGTGAAATTTTTCTCCGGTCATAGAGAAATAGCCCATAGATTGTCGTAATAAGACTCAACGAAACACAGCGCGCTAATACATCGGTATACGGCATGTTGCTCTAGAGAAGCCTCCTCCAATACTGGAGGAACGACGTACCGTTGAGGAGAAGGGCGAACTGTGGCACACGGGCCGCCGAATGACACGGTGACTGTCTACCACTACACGGAACCTCCCACGGTGCCCGGCCATACCGCTCCACTCTCCAAAACAACAGCGTCAGTACCCAGCCGCAACTTTGCAGGTATATCAACACTCACTCACTCCTATAGACGACGCCCATGCCCAGTTACTCGGCCCAGGGAAGTGAAGAGTTTCAGTGGGTTCTAACGGTCTAATAGGAAGTCTCCTTACCAGCCTCCAGATTAAGCTCAAGAGCTACACTATGGTCGACGTGACCATTGAGCATTTACTATGGTCGACGTGACCATTTCCATGTATAGGGAATATGTGGTTTAAAACCTACTCCTAGCCATGAACGCATAGACCTAAATGCCAAGCAGATCCACTGAGCTTGGCATCATCCACGCACGCCGCAACCTTGTGTGCTGTCGTCCAATCTTGCGCTGACCATGCGAATTGAACGAGACTCGCGCTCCCTCACTAGAAATGGCACGTGTCACAACAGTGGATCGTACGTACAAAAAGGTGTAGTTCTCGTGGAACGCCTTGAGGAAAACTACACCTATTTGATAATTAGTAACGTCTATATCAACGGGTAGGCGAATATAATCAAGGATACTCCTTTAGGAACTCCAACTTCGACAAGGAGTGGTAATAAGAACTTCAATTCCGTTGTTCTGGTGAAATCAATTTCGTATTTCGACAAGTGATAGTATAAGTCAACAGATATAAACGTCCGAGAATTACCATAACCATGACCATGATGAAATCAGCAAAAGAATAAGGTATACGAAACCAACCACCAATGGCCACATCCTCCATATTTGCGCGGCTCTACTCAACTACGTCGCCCACGTTATATATGTCATCTCCTCGATATTCCCCATCTTGAAAAGTATGGCATGCAAGTTCAATGGTCTAAACTGAGTGATGGATTTATTATATCACGACGATGATAGGCGCGGCACCATCACTTGAGATGAGCAGCTGTTGGAGCTGCCCATGTGTATGACTTCTTGTTGGTGGAAGACTGGTCCGATCGATGCAGATCGGAGTCGGTGTTGGAATAAATGATCATATTCCTCAGCTGAGTCCACTATAGAAGTTTACATACGAATTCGGATAGAAGTGTACAGAAACCAATGAGAATTTCCTCGATTTTCCTCAAATTTTCCACAAATGTCACTTACATATGTAGTTGACTACATGCATATTTTCTTAGTGGGGCTATGAGGGAACAGAAATACACCTGTAACGCAGTGGAGTAGCTCTGTAAGGCGTTCATCACAATGCAGCAGAGAAAATAGCCGATAAATGGCGACTCGGGTAACCCGAAAAAGATCTTGAACTAGATTTTGGGGTCGTTCAATAAATCTATTTCGAGACTGAGAACTGCTTGTTACACATATAATACGATGCTAGAATCGATTCTGAGTTCCACAACTACTTCAATGAACATGGGGTTTATCTCCTAGAAAATCCTCTTGCGTTCTTATAGATGTATATAGGGTGCAGAAGTGTATCAGTATTCTTGTGGCAAATCATGTCGAAGTCCATGTCCTTCTCTGGCCGTGTTGCTGTCGTCACAGGTGCAGGTGGAGGCCTTGGCAGGCAGTACGCCCTGGACCTAGCTAGAAGGGGATGCAAGGTACTAGGGGCGTCAGTAGTGATTCTAGAGCTTCTAGTAGGTAGTCGTTAACGACCTTGGTGGAACATTCGATGGTTCTGGTCACTCCAGTAGAGCTGCTGATAAGGTAGTGGAGGAGATCACCGTGGCTGGTGGCGAGGCAATCCCTAATTACAACTCTGTGGTACTACTACAATTCCAGTGTGTTCTGGAGGCGTCTCATTCAGACTGATGGGGAAGCGATCATTAAGTCTGCCGTGGACAAATGGGGACGTATTGACATTCTTATTAACAATGCTGGTAGTAAAAAGTAACAGTAACCAAGGTGACCTCGTGATAGGCATTTTGCGTGATCGGTCTCTGGCGAAGATGACCGATGATGACTGGAAGCTCGTCGTGGATGTGCATTTGAATGGTGTCTATAAGTGCAGTAGAGCTGCATGGACCCACATGCTCAAGCAAGGCTATGGGAGAATAGTCAACGTCTCGAGTGTGTCTCTACGTGACTTGCTTTTTTCGGATGGGTTTTTAGGCGCTTCTGGTCTTTATGGAAACTACGGCCAAGTCAACTACAGTATGGCTAAATCTGGTATACTGGGGATGACGAAAACGATGGCCATTGAAGGGAAAAAACGCGGTAACTTCTCTCCATAGGGTTGGCTCTGCAGGGCCGTCGTAGGTATTTTGTGCAACGTTATAGTGCCGGTGGCGGCGTCGAGAATGACCGAAACAATAATGCCACCAGATTTATTAGCTCAGCTTTCCCCTGAATTCGTATCGCCTCTGGTCGTGGCGATGTGTCATGAGAGCTATAAGGTAGGCGCGGGGAGAATGCGATTGTGAAACTCTCACACTATCAGGGCAGTGGGGAAGTCTTCGAAGCTGGTGCCGGTTGGTTCTCCAAAGTCAGGATCCAAAGGTTCGTTCTCGTGGAGAAAATGCTGTTCGATCGGCTTTCAGGAGCCGCGGTCTAACGTTGAAGTGGCCGTATCAACCGGAAGATCTTCTCGATGAAAAGGTTCAAAACACCATCGCCGACTTTTCTCAGGATGCCGCCTACCCCAGCAGCTCTGGGGAAGCTCTAATGAGCCTAATGCAGGTGAAACCTGGAGACACCTTATAATAATGACCATCCCCTGCTGTAGACAAGAGGCGACGCCGTGGCCCCACCAAGCGCTGTGCAACCCCAAGCATCGAGTTCGACTTTGAAATCTGCCAGAATATTTGATATTATCAGAGCGTGAGGAAATTAGATGACCTCGGCTATGGTTGAAATATCCTTCTAGTTACTTTGACCATCCCAGCAAACCCGGCAGTCCCTTGGTGAAGAAGCTGAACACTACTTATACTTTTGAGATTTATGAAGGCAAGAAGGTGGGAGTGGGTAAGTCTAGGAAGTGGACTCTGAATTTGAAAGACGCTCCTGGCAAGTGTTACGAAACTAAGGTAAGCTCTTGTCCAGCTTCGACACTACTCCCGACCGCTTTTGTTATCAGGAGGCCGATGGAGCCTGCACTATCTCGCTTATTGATGACAATTTCATGGCGCTCGTGAAAGATGAGCTACAGCCTCAGGCTGCATTCATGCAGGGGAAGTTGAAACTTAAAGGCGACTTGGCAGCTGCTATGAAGTTCACTCCAGATGTGATCACATCATTACGACTAACTTCCGATCGTTGCCATAGGTCCTGCCCAAATTTGATCCGTCCCTCGCCGACAACACATCGCTGTCTGCAGCTGAGGTTGTCGAACTCTTCTTCAAGACCTCTAAGATGTGATGGTACATCACTGCTGGGTTGACGAATATTACATTATTTTATAGACATGTCGTTCGTATTTTCTCTGATTCTTGAATGTATTTGAGTTAACCAAAGTTGCATAACTATCAACACAACAACAGCTGCAAAAATTGCTTGTCATTTTCAAAAAACAGTCGGTCGTATCATCTTTCCCAGGCATTTTCCAATCCTCAGAGACCGTGGACTCGCAATTCGATACTTCTGCCCAGCTTGAAGTGACGTTAGCGGGTGGTGAGGCTGGGCATAAAGGAGGAAGCTGCGAAACGACAGTAACGATGGAGATCAGGTTAGAATACGAACAAAATTAAAAGCATGAAACTGGTACGATAAGTATAACAGGGCTTCAATAACGATGATGATGCAGCAGTTGTTGTTGCTGTCCGCATTATGTGCTAATTCCGTTACTCTAAAACAAGGATAATGGTATCGACTAATTCAACGGGTGGGGGTCGTCTGCACACCACTAAACTGGCCACTCTGAGAGTTACCATTCGCAGCATACATGGCCGCTGAGCTCGCATTGGGAAAAATCTGCACTTGAGGCAATGTCTCGGGCGTGTTCAGGTGTTGAGTCGACTTATCCGATACCGAGCCCCCAGAAGAGGACACCGACACGTTACTCCGATTCAGTACGAACTCCTCAGGAGCAAAGGGGACTGGGGTCTTGTACAGCTGCAGAAGCTCCCGTACTGGTACGCCGGGCGGAGTACGCTTGATCGCGCTCACAGGAACTATAGACGGCATCTCCTTAGGGGGAGGCTCGAAATAGACCATCCTGTTCTCCTTTATAATCTTCTCGCACTCCACCTTCACTTTATTGATGATAGTCTCAACAGTGAGCCGCATATGCGGCGCCGTTACCTACTACCAGTGCTGTCTAACCTGCATGAACAAAAGTTCCTACCTGGTGTAAGGCAGCTTCTGTTTCCTTCACTGCAGCCATTGCTCGGTCAGCCCAGGCGTTGGCAACACCGAAGTGTTCCACCTCGAACTCTGCTGAGGCCATAAGAGTGTTAGCCCTAGCCCGATACATAGGACCAACCACCATCACATGGTTGATCAAATGACCAAGTCCATCAGAACCTGATCAGATACTATCGCCGACTCCTTGGTGACTCCGAATGCCCACCCCTGAGCATTTTTTGTACTGGTATAGCATCTGCGTCAACCTGCATGGCCAACTTCGCGAGGAGATTCCTCGATCCCGACCGGCTCGCAGCCAATTCAAAAGCGCAGATTTGACCACATAGATGACTGTAGCTGCAGAGGCCTCCAAGCACCTTAGAATGCGTATACCACCCCCTATCCCATATGCAAATGACCTACTCTAGGGTCCAGCTCGGGGATGGCAGCGGTCATCGTAGTGAGGGTGTCCCGACATGTCTGGAATGCCGTCGAGGCCTTGCTGCATATCTTAGCAACCTGTAAGGATTCATACATGATCGACTGACATTCAGTTTACACATACCTCATCGAGACCCGTCGTGAGAATCTCACCGCTCCTCGAGTCCACTACGAATCGTTGAGCAGCTTGTTCGAGCAGAGAGCACGCATACACGAACAGCGTCTGGTGATGGACACAACATGCCGTGTAAGCTGTGAATCATTGTGAGGCTACCATCGTGACATCGATGCCGATGGCTTGAGTGGACGTCTTTTCTTCGCTCGGCTCTACCACCACTTCAGGCGTGAGGCCAGATCGCCATCGTATAGTGTACTTCCTCTTGAAAGGGACAGTCTTGGACACCTCAGCTAAGGCTAATAGATCGTTGATATAATCCACACAAGCACTGAAGGAAATACACAGTAATGGTCGCGAATGGTCGGTGAAGGGAGTCTACTTCTGTACATCGCTTGGTGGGTGTCTATTCACAAGGTGTGAGTTGAGCTCACTACGAAGGCTAGTCATCGTCCTGAGCTTGATGGCCGCGGGCGAATCTATCAGGGTTTCGAACTTGAACAGACTTGCATCACCGATGGACGGAGGTTGGACCGGTAGAATCATAATAGTAGGGTAATAACTCGGCTTCAAAAATGTCCTAAATAATCATCGCACGGCACCATAATGGAAGCATGCCGCCTCGTAATGCTCCACTACGACCCGATGACAAACGAAGTAAACTCGCCAGAAAAATCCACAATTCGACCGGTTCAAAGATTCCCATCCTCGAAAGCGCTCCCAAAGTATCCGGATTCTGTGAACTGACGAGCCATAAAGTAATGTCGCATAACTCCCGACTCAGCAAGACTCCTCTCGAGTGACCGCATGATACCGCATGGGTGAAGCGCATATAAGATAACCGAGTGAGCGAATGTGTGCATTGAGAACCCCTGTAGCATTGCGCTTAGAACCTTCAGACTGCACGCATGCGTCAGGGAAGAACTCCCGGGTTCGAGTCCCAGGTCCGGCATTTATTACGCGTGACTTGTTAACTTCAGTCTTGAGCCTGGTTGTACTTGATACAGAGCTCGCAGCTGTATCTCAATATGCAGCCAGCTCGAAGTGAGGCTCTTAAAGGCTTAACGTTACATTGGACGAGTGAACGCGTGCTGAGACTACCGGGGAGGCGAAACGCATCTCGCACATTCTTGCATCTTTTATCAGCACATCTTTAGTTGGATTGCGCCCGATATCTTGCCGTATCTATCGATTTCGTATCTAACGGTTTCAGTCTGCCTTGTCTAGAATCCTTAAGGCTTAGGGCCTAAGCCTAAAGGTAAGGCTGAGGCCAAGTCATCGACTTCGTATCGCTCTGATGAGTATGATGATGCTTTATCCGTTGATAGAAGCAGCTCATCTCCTCCGTCCTCCTGTCCACCATCACGACGCTCACAGTGCGCAGATCGGTCGGAACGCCCACGTTGGGTCGATAGAAACGGAAGAGGGCACCCTTACATACGATTAAGTATTCGATTCTGAGTGTCTACGGAGTTGAAGTATACAAGTATGCAGCGAAACACATCAGCAGAGGAGTAATACAGAGGCGGTTGCAACAGGCAATCTTGGGACTTCCTCTAGGGCTCCTTAGCCATTCAGTGGCACAGTGCTCGCTCATGGTCAAACTGCCAACGGCGTGTACTCACTCCGACAAGGATACCGTAATTTGTGATATTCTTATGTAATTTTCTGAGCTAGGCTGTGCGTTTGTCTCTCCTCGCTAGATAATGCCATTTCAATGTATTACGCTATTGTGGTGCATATTTGAGTATCCATATCAGTATCCCTGTTACTGGTTGAGGCATGGTTTTGTTAAATCAGGAGGGAAATCACAACAGCGAGGAGATATCATGGGTATATCACCAGCTGGTAAATAGACGTTGTAGGCAGCAATAGACCCCATAGACGAAATCGTGGCACAAAAACGTAATGTTGCTACAACAGCGCCCTAGCGTGCTACCGATAATGGTATTCTCACTGATCAATTATTAGAGGCATTTGCGCAACACATTGGCATCAGAGGGAAGACGTTGATATGGATAGCGGTCGATGTATTAATGTTCGACCAATGAGTGCAGGGGTATATCTCCTCTCGTTCTTCTAACGTGCTCTGCAGTAGGGCTACGATACATCGCATAGCATGTGAGTACTGAGAGGGATTAAACTTTGAGGCTATAGCCATTGTGGTTCCAATTCTTCGCGTGCGTTCGATTCCTTCCTCCCCAACCCGTATCTGGCACATTTGATGAACTTGCTCGTCAGTTCACTACAAACACAATCATCCATGCTCAGTACCAATGCGTCCTATTACGGACCGATAAGAATAGGATAGCTAATCCTTCAGCAAATAGTTCATCTGAGATGTTCACCGAGATGATCATAAACTATTCATTTACAGCATGATGGGCGACAGCATGCCCACCAGAAAAAAATCAATAATGACACGTTACCGCACCGTGATGGAATCGGCCTCCTTTCTACTAGGCATACATCATACCACTCTCGCGTTTCTTGTTAGCTATGGATTCCTGGGCTACTATCTTAGTCCATCCAGGCTCATAAGCAGCTTCTATCTCGGCCTTCATCTTAGCAATGGCCTTAGCTGGATCCAGACCTACAGTGAGATAGACTCGAAGAGCTAGTGAAACATGAATCACCTTTAGGGCAGCATGAAGTGCAGTTCATGATGCCGTGACAACGATAAAGTCTCATGGAGTCGTTGATCCAAGCCATGCGCTCCGTTGTGAATTCATCTCTAGAGTCCGCGATCCATCTAAGTGCGTACGATCGAAAGTTATGGACACCACAGGTCCCTAACCTGTATGCCTGCAAGAGCACCGCCGGGCCGAGATAATATTCAGGATTCCACCAGTAAGATGGACACGAAGTCATGCAACAAGCACAGAGAATACACTCATACCTGAGCCTCTAGGATAACCTCTCAGGCCGCCTGCTGAGAGCCTACGTACATGCCATCAAGCTTTTCTCTATCCTCAATGCTTTGATAGTACTCCTTTTCACCAGGCTGTTTTGCACGTCTACGTTTGAGCCAGGGTTCAATACTCTTATATTGATTATAAAAATTGCTCAAGTCGGGAACTAAGTCCTTCAAGACGTACCTGCAAACACCTTTAAACCATACGGGACGTACACCATCCTATCACGTGTGAGGGAGCGGCTGAATATCAATAGGAGCTGCGCCGGGCTCGATGTACTGGAGGCACGCGAGGCCATTCTTGCCATTAATATTCATAGCGCAAGATCCGCAAATGCCCTCGCGACAAGAGCGTCTGAATGAGACCAGTTGGCGAGATAACGCCACTGGGGAAACTTGCCGGAATGCTAGAGTGGAGTCCTGAGTATCCTTGATTTTAATGAGGGCATCCAAAATCATCGGACCACATTGTGCCAAGTCAATGTTATACTCCTGAAACACACTGGTAGATATTGTCAATAACTACTATTCCCATACCTGCATGTGTGGCTTGTCTTGCTTCAGAGGGTCGTAGCGGTAGACTCTGAAGGTCTGCATCCTAGTGGCAGACGAGGTTGCGAAGCATCGGCGAGAGGCGTCAGACCAGAGGTGAGAGAGCATTGTTACAGTTAACGAGATGTCCTTATCCTGATAGCAACTTGGATCCTCAATGGAACGACACTTAGTCCAGTCAGGATCTGATGCTGAGATGATGATGCGGAAGGATTATTGATGGAGAGTCAGCGTAGTTGTGTTGAGGAATAATCACCGACTTTCACCGATAATAGCAGAGAAAAAAGTTCGAGTATTGAGGGAATCGCGATGAGCTCAATGGCGGGTCAAGAAAATCATACATGATATGGCGGCATGGATAGTATGTATAGTGGGCGTAGCAGAGCCCCAAGTTCGTATCTATGGTGCGTATATCGTACGTGCTCGAGTTTTCATTATATGTATGAAGCAGGCCTATGCCATGATATTTACTTTTTACCGACTGGTATCAATAAACTACCCAATGGTAGGGCAACTCCACCAAGGGAGAGTTTCCCTCCGAGACTAAATTCACCCGGTTGGTGAAACTTTTCACGGTAGTCTACTCCTACCCTTAAGAAACTCGAGGATTCGAGTACCGAGGCGCTCGAGCATCGGGTTTAACTGCATCGAGTATTGTCAAATTACGGTGCTGATGCATCTGGGCGAGCGCTAAGTTAAAGGTGCTCGCGGACGCCCAGTAATCGTGAAGCAACAACCGCATCTTGCTTTGATCAAATGGTTTCACGCACTCATAACAATAGATCGGACTCACTATGCTTCATCCTAATGGGCCTACTGAATAATGCCTCCTTTGTTGCTGTCATCAGCGCCTCGAAAAGCCTCGCACAGGAATACAATGCGATGGAGAATTTCGGTGTAAGTACTTCGCGTCGGCGTTTCTGACTGCTTTCGTGGCCATTCTAATCCATTTTGCTAATACCTTGACCGTCTGCTGTGCTTCAGATCATTGGTAGTGCTTCAGTGGCACTAGGAGTCTTCGCTACTCCTATAAGTGCCATGGTTTCCGAACTAGACGTACCCTTTTTCTATCGCTTCTGGGTTACCACTATCATACGGATCATCGGCCTTGTCATGATCGCTTTCGCTCCTACTTTCGAGTTCTGTGTTGTTGGAGTGTTACTCGCTGGCTTGACCCAGATCTTGGGGGAGAACTTCACGCTTTGTTATATAAGAAAGTTCGACCCTACTTTCATCGGCGATTGGTCCTGTGGTACGGGGTGGGCCGGTGTCCTCGGTGCCTTCTTCTACCTTACCCTAAGGGCCCCTCCTATTGGCTGGTCTAACCAGACGTTCTTCCTGGCCATAGCCACTATACAACCTCTCTTTGCGATGTGCTATGAGGCCCTCAAGAAGGACGAAACTGCATCTCCTTTAAAGGAAGGGTATGAAAAGACCGGCCTAATCACAGACACTCTATTGGTGAAAGCATCTTTGCCATTCCCTTCTGTTATGAGAGTTCTTAGTTGTGATGGTATCGCTCTTGGCCTGGTTTATTGGTTGGAATACACCATACAGGGCAAGTTTGCACGTGAGGCTTCGATGAGCTCAGGAGTGCCTCGTAGTTGGTATGAGGAGCTGTGCTTCGTGTATCAAATAGGCGTACTAATCTCGAGGTCGTTGACCCTGCCTGTTGTCCGTTGGCTCTCGAAGGACTCTGCGGTTCAAAAGGCTATGAAGATAGTACTTATTTCGGCTACACTATTACAGTGTACCCTGTTTATGGTGTGGTTGTTGACCACCGGGAGCGGTCACTACATGCCACTTGTATTGCAAGTGGCCTCTATGTCATTAGTAGGCTTATGTGGAGGCTCTATGTACGTCACTGTTTACTATCTAGTACAGTGTTGTAAGCGTCTTTCTCCGCACGATAAGGAGAGAGCTGTCAATTTTGTTGCGATGTTGGTCAATCTTGGAACACTGGCCAGCTTTTTAACTACCCTCTGGGCTGACCATACCTTTTGGCCCTCGGGCTCTATCCCTATAAAGTTCTGAGATGTCGTTATGCGGTATCGTTATTGATTATGGGAATACACCTCCGTTGTTGCGGTTATAACATTCCATTGTCATGGCTCTAAAGCCATTCTCACTTTTTATGATATTAGTGACCTATGGGGCCACACCATACGGCGCTTGTGGTTAGCTGTCCGTCCATAGTCCATGTTAGGGTTTAGTTGAGAGAGGGGGGTGGTGCAAAGGGGCATTGCTCTTGTAGGGTGCTGCAGGGCACTGGTGTTAATGTTGTGCTCTCTAGGGATGACCTGTTGTCTGTAACGTCAGTTTAATGGTAGATTTGTTGCATCGTGTTGTCATGATGTTGCCTACTTCTGTCGAGCTACTGAAGTGAGGCATTAACTTCATAGTCGATAAACAGTTCGCAGCATGTTTTTATTTAGGTTGGATCGCCAGTACAGTGTGTCCAGGATAGTATATACCACGCTCGTGGAATAAAGGGATCCGATTTGCAGTAAGCTCAGTTGTATAATACAGAACTTGAACAGAAATTGGTATCTATCGTGGTTGTCGTTCTATATGTGTTGTTCATATTCTTATAGATGAAGGTTTGTGCTAATCAAGTTTACGTGTCTCTGTCTGACACAGTACTGCATTTCGATCGTCATACTTTGACAGTAGGAGATGTTTTAGTCTCGGAAGAAGTGCAACGAGGGGGCCACCAGCTTGTGATGGCTCCACCATATTCATGGATGGCATGTAGGGTATTACACGCTCTTTTATAACTGCCTTAGCATCTTGAACTTTGCAGATTTATCGGACCTAGATCGTGGAACGACACTTAGTGGTATTGGCTTTTTTGAAAGCGATGTAACGCTTATTACCGGTGATCATTTTGTCAACTATGCTAAGCTTCAAACACTAGAACAAGCTGCAGTAGTCGTGACTCACGACTCGTGAGAGTGCCCCTGTTCTGTCTCCCTGGGGTCAACCTCATCTGGTGCTGGTGTGTGCGTATGCCTTGACCGAACCTAGGCAGGTAATTTCTCCCGGTTTTGTAGTGGAGGGCAAAATAGTGGTGGATCCTGGCGAAACGTGGAAGGGAGATGTTGGCTCTTCAACGGTCTTGTGGGGTGATGCTTAGGAGAGCCGTACCTGCCTTTCACATCTTGCTGGTTGATTGGTTATTGGTATAGCTCGTGACGCACTCTACTATATTATGAGTACTCATGCTTTGCACGGGTCTGTCATTTCGCCTGTATATCCTTAATGGTGGTACTGTTCTGTTCTGGTCGTGTTGATCAATAACTGGATAGCTTCAGCTTTACTTTTTTCTCAAGATGGGACGTATGTCTGATCGACAGCCCTCTGTGATACCCTTTCAGCTCGTCCCTGGTGACCGCCTTAACATTGCCCTTGGATGTGCTATCTACCTCGCTTTAACTGGTAAGCCTTTTTCTGTGAATACCCTCTACTATGGGAGGTGCTTATAGGCAGTAGTGAGGTTATCAACAACAAGTTCCTTCGAAAGAACCTCCAAGCTTATACATCTTGGAATTGGGTTCTGATAGTATCGAGAATACTACTAAGGCAAGAGCAATGGGTGAGTGTGTGATACTGGCTGGTGGGACTCTAGTTGCTACTACTGTTTAGGATCCTTTTCTGCTATCGAATAGCTTCGGTGTGTGTATGGCCTTCCGCACTGCTGGAGCTAGAGGCTTGACGGAAATGATGAGGCAAAAGATGGCTCTTAGAGGCGTTAAGTTGACCAAACTCCAATTCGCGGCTATGGACCACTGGGTGGGCTCAGAAGACGAGGTTGTAAAGTAGAATGAGGTTCCCAGCTCAGGTCCATACAGTGCCCGTAGTATTGATGATGTTCCTAGTCATTAGATCAGGTCGTAGACCTCTTATGACCAATGGTATAGTAGGCATCATGGCACAGATGTTTTTCGCCTACTCCCAAGCTGGTAGTTACATGTCAGACACTTTGCAATGTAGGATATTGTTTTTCATAGGCACATTGAATGTCGCTGAGCTATACATGCCTCACCCTGCCAAAAGGGCCTGGCTGGCTAGTCTGTTGGGGCAGCTCTTGGGGCCTCTGCTCGCCACAGCTATCGTTGACAAGAAATGGAAAAAGGTCTGTCGTGTTCCTACTGATGAGTTTCTATCATATTCATTTCTCAGGCTGGTGCAATTTTTTTGATTATTTTACTTCCCTGGCTCAGCGCCTCGTTGGATCCTAAAGTGAAAAAGAAGTCAGGATTTGCGACGTTGCTTCGTCGTTTACATTTACTCCTTAGATACTATAACCCGCTTATGGCACACATAGCCAAAGTAAAGGAGGATATGCAGGAAAAAGGTTCGAGTACTTGGGTTGTTGGGTGTTTGTTATGATAGTCGTATTTCAGAACGTCGTCGTAGTGCAAGGAATGCTATGGCTCTTGGGTTCTCCCTGTTGGGGCCAGGCTCGAAGGGCTATTCACCAGCCGGCAGTGATGGGAGTGCTTCCTCTTCTGATAGTGAGGATCATGAGGATGCGGTCACGGCGGCATCTAAGAGGGTAGCTAGTGTACCACAGGGTCTACTACGGAGTAGCATGAGGAGGTGATCAGCCATTAAAGAGTCGTTGGCATGATATTGTATTTGAAGTTTCTTATGGGCATTTGGAGTGATGGAGTTAACGCAGTTGATAAACGCGAGTTTTACTACCAGTGTACATTAGCAAGAACGAGGCCTAGTACAGTAGAGTCGTTTGATATGCTCGAGAGTCAAGTGCGACGATATATAGAGGAGTTAGTTTCGTCGTCTGCCGGCACTCCCAACGATGGCAGCATATCCTCTGTAGCTATCGACCTATCAGATAGGTATATTGGGACTAAGGGCTGCCGAGCCCTTTGTGAGGCACTCAGACAGATAGGCAATGATAAGGTGACAGACATTGTTGTGATGGAGGTGGGCAGTGCTTTGCTCATTGACATTGTAGATGCTGATACACTCCTTGAACCTAGCTGGTAATAACATACACTCTGAGGGTCTTATAGACCTTGGGAATGCCATACGTAGTAGCCAGGCTTTACGGCATGTGAAGGAGATCGTATTGGATTGGAACCCTCTAGGAGAGGCTTCACCTCAATGTACTATACTCAATCAATGTTATACCAACCATCGTTCTTCTTCTACTCATCAGGCTTTGAGTCCCTGCTCTCATCGCTCAGTGTGGCTCCTGATTTGAGTATACTATCTATGCAAGAATGCCAGATTAGCCCTGCTGGAGCTGAAGCTATTGCCTCTACACTGCTTACGCACTCCCGGAGGTAGCGTACGACTAAGACCCCCTGGCCTAGTCCTGCCCTTCTCGTTAGTTTGCGTCACTTAAACCTCTCTCATAACGCCCTAGGCCCGACTGGTGGGGAGGTCCTAGCCTCAGCTCTTAATAATTCTGGTTGTCACACTCTCACTACTGTGAAGCTTACGGGCAACTGTAGTATCGTCGAGATGATCAGCTGATGAACTAGCTCCTGCTTAGCGATTCCCTTTGCGATCCAGCAAGGTATCACTAAAGTGACTGAGAGGAATGAGAGAATGACTAGTAGCGGCTACACATGTCAACGACTTGTCTCGAGAGGAACACTCGTCGTTTCTGGGATGCTTCCTCTCCCCAAGGTATCAACGCATGCCGCAAGTCCACGAGCGGTGGTCCATACACCATATCAAAGAATATGGCGTTGTCACTACCAGCTGCCGTTGCTAGCCTAGCAGATATGTCCCCTAGTAAACGGTCGATCAGGCTTGACAGGAGTAATGATGGAAGCCCCTTTCGAGGGAGGCAGATTGATGATGGTGATACGCAGAGTTCGGCGGCTGATCTAACCTGCCTAGTGTAGAGTGCATGCTCACTAACTTGGCTTTCAGATTTCACCCCGACCCCCGCTGTGGCTAGCAACTGTCGCTGTATATCGTGCGTGGCACAGGAGCAGCTGATACGGGCGGAGGAATCTCATCAGGCTGAAGTGAGGTAGATGCCCAGGTGGTCCTCCTATGGCGTCTCTCACAGGTGGCTCGACTGCAGCAGGAGTTGGAGGCTCTAGAGCGAGGCGTGGCAGACAAAGAGAAACGAATACATGCAATGTAGCCGTATGTGCAGTGGTGGAGGCATACTCTAGCTCAGGAGCGAGCAGCATGCGGAGCAGTTGAATCGGCAAATGACTACTACTGACAAACGAGTATCTCTATAGACCTCAATATGCACCTATTACGCTGTTTGATTCAGCTCTCGGAAGCCTCGATACGATATGAAAAGGAGCTTAATGACATGAAGGATAGCATGGCAGATTTACAGAAGGAGCTTGCAGCCTCTAATGAACGGTAATGAACTAGGGGTGGTGTTGATGAAACAGCTGGGAAACCCTGTAACTTTTCATACGCACGATTGGAAAAGCTGGGTTTCTGTAGAGCTTGAGAAGGACTTTTTAATGGTATATGATATATCTCATAACTCGATAGCTATAAGAAGTTAAGGGGTCAGGGCCCTCTAGAGTCTGTTGTATAGGTGTGCCGAGTTGATGATGGAGACGGAGCAAGTTCGGAAAGAAATGAGGAAGGCGGAGACAGATATGCAGGATCATAAGCATGCGGTGAGGAGTTGGGCCTTAGGGTGAGTTAGTTTCTGTATAGAGGGAACAGTTGGAGAGGGAAGTAGCGGATAAGCATCGAGAGTTGATGGAAAGGTCAGCTGAGGTGGGGCATGGTAGGACCCGATTGACAGCGAGGTTGGCCCTGGTAGTTGGCGGCCACTAGACGGCGAGCGGGTGAGGAGATGTCTCAGCTGAGGACAGAGCTTGGTCGAGAACGGCAGGCACTACATGATAAGGAAGCTGCAGTGGACAATTACCAACGGGAAATGAATGCTCTAGTATAGGCATGCGTCGTGGAGTGGATGTTTGTGCCTTGCTGGTTGTGTAGAAGGCGTCCCTAGAGGAAGCTGTGGCTTGCAGAAAGCGTCGGGAGGCAGAATTCGAGAACACTCTTTCATCAGAGAGGTCAAAGCGCGAAGTCATCCGGCGAGAGTTAGAGCAGGCTAAGGAGACTTTCGCTGCAGAGAAGCTAGTAGTAACCGTTGGGGGTTATCGTGGTTGATCTTGTCATGTTAGCATCTATTGACTCGGGCATCAGAGATGGAGTCCAATCTGCGGGAGGCGGAATCGAAGTTGTCAGTAGCCGAGCAGAGAGCGGACTCTAGAGAGAAGGAGTTGCGGGCAGCTCATGACAAGTACGTGGAGGATTCTCTTTTTGTGACGGTGTGGGAGAATATGCACTTGGTCAACTGTACGGTGACAATATGTAAATTCTGCGAAGAAAAGGGAAATTCTTGTGGGCTTTTCTGCACTGACTCCTTATATGAACTCCTAGAATCAGTGAAGAAACTCCTGAACTCAGCTGAGGAAAACCAACACTGGTTTGTGGATTCTTGACCTAGAGTTAGTGACCGAATAACTCCGTCTTTGGATGCGTTATGCTTATTATCATCAGTGTTGAAAAACATGTTTGCTTTCCTCAGCGGAGTCGAAAATTTCCCGCGCTAATTATACGAGTTCATACATGGATTTGGGTAGAAATGTACAAAAAGCAACAAGAAGGTGCCAACAGTTCCTTCCAGAAATTTAATATTGGAGTTTCACCCGTGATATGAAAAACACTAGTGAAAAAATATTTCACGACTACTGCATAGGTTGAATATCGCGTTTTTCACCGAGTTTTACGCCACTTCACGTAGAGTGGGTGAAACTGCATTGTCACCAACATATGTGGTTGACCATGTGCATGCTTTCCCACACTGATTGATACTCTTGTGTGTGTGATTGGAATCGTGGCATGCATTAGTAACAACCACCACCGTCCTCCATGGGATGGGAAAGGTTGCTCCTGCTTTGGTGTTGGACGTATTTATTACCGCATACCTGAATGAAGACTTTCAGAGTGAGCTCTATACGGGAGCAGCTGGTAGCAGCCGAGGCAGAGTCAAAGGATATGGCAGAGAGAGCAGCCAATGAGTTGAGGAAGACTTCCCGGTTGGAGCGGGAAAAGGAGGTAGGAGCGCACTGCTAGCACTAGTACTATTCCTTACGGTCAGGCGACTGAGGTTAAGTTGTCTAGTATGACCACAGTACTCGCCGAGACGAGGCGTACTGGGGAGGCGCTTCAGCATCAGCTTGAGGGCAGTCAGAAGGGTTAGCATCTTCATCATCACCTCCCGCTCGTCCTATGGTGTGGTCTCAGAACATGCGACGATGAGTGCCAAGAAGCAGGAGGAGATACGGGCCCTGCAGATTAAGTTGGAGACGACGCAGAAGGCATTAGAGGAGACGAGGAAGGTGATATCACTAAGCTCCACTGTGTGAGCTACCTCTGGTTACTACCAGGTACTACAGACCATGCGGGATCTGCATAGACAGTCCAATGAGCTAATGGGCACCCTCTCCTTATAGGAGGCATCAGCTAGTACATGCCGTTGTCACTCGAGGACTTGGGAGTTTAGTTGGGCCCATTGGGTTAAAATCAGTTGTTTTAATTCATTTTGTTTATGTCATTATCATCAACATTGATCCTTGAAGGTAGAGACTTATCTCTCTCGCAAGAGGCGCCGACCTCAGCCTAGTCATGTCCGGTGAGATCCGCGATGAAACCTTCAGTGAAAAGTGAATACTCGGTTAGAATGCAAGTCCACGAGAGTCTGCCCTTGTGCAGGAGTCTGCGGGGAGTGCACAACCCAATCCACAGGAGTATGAATTCGACAAACTACCCGCGACTAATTCAGCAGGAGTTTCTACCGCCCCAATTCAATTGGGGACAACGAGAACAACAACAAGAACAACAAGAACAACAACAACAACAACAACAACAACACCAATAACAACAACAGCAGCAGCAGCAGCAACAACAACAACAACAACAACCATAACAACAACAATAACAACAGCAACAACAACAACAACAGCTACAGCTACAGCAATGTCTATTTGTTATATTTATATACACTTTAGTGAGACACTCGTTCTACCCTGCCTGGCCTTGCCTTGGGTAGATGAGTCACAGCTGTTCTTGTTCAGGGATGGACTGCTTTGTTTTGCTTTGTTATGGACTGCTGCTTGCGGCAGGTTAATAACAGACAAGGTTGTGCGGAATCTTGTTCATTGATAGCGTTTAACGTGAAGTACGCGAGTTGATCGATATGAATGGAGCAGAAGGACTCCGGATTGAGGGAGACTTCTGGGGTCTTTTCTTTCGGTAGCATTAGGATATGTTTGAACCTCCATAGCGTGTTGTAAACATCTTCTGATGACTAACTCATCATCTAGCGCCGATGCCAGTGTAGGGTTGTTCACCAGTCCTACTGAGGAACGACTCGCACCGAATAGTATTCCTGCTAGAGATTCCTTAGCAGGCATTTCGCGAGGAATCGTGACGCCGTCACTATGAGTCGATGCACTCGCATAATAGGCCACCCTGTCCAGCTCTGCTCTACAGGAGTTACCGGATTTGCTCATAGTTCAACTATGACAACTATAATAGTTGTCACGTGCGTAGCACATCCCGTGTTCAACTCAACGGCCAACTCTTACTGCTCTTGATAGGTTATCCACCTAACATCCATGCGTTTCGTCTCCCTGCTCCTCGCTTCAATCATCCTGGCTGTCTTCGGCTTGGCCGACAGAGATCCTCAAGATGATTTTTCTGTAAGCCGTAAACTAAATGTTGATACGCATTGTAAAGAGTGTCCCCGGAGCGAGTGTCACTGTAGCCATACCGGACATTGTCGTTGTATATCATTCTAGATGTGAGAATGATTTCTCGAGGCTTGACAACTCTACTATAGTTGTCTTTTATTTAGACAAGGATTCGTTCATTCCTATTCAGATTGATCCTGTCTACTTTTGTCTTTCGCATACTCATTATCAGACTTTTGGGAAATAGTCAAGAACTTATGAGATTACACGATACGTCTGTGACGCGTCCGATATTCGGTTCTGATGATCTGTGTCGTAAATCGGGAAGTCCGTATTTTTGAAGCCTGTTACATTTCAAGTATCTTGCATACTTCAGGGGTTCTTGTTTGGATCTTAACCTTCGTTCTATTCCGTCACTATTATTCCGATATGGATACGAGTCCCAGTAGAGAAAGCGATGTTGGGTTGCACGCGAGTCCGTCGTCGATAGCTTCTTATGAAGAGTCTGCAAGGGAGGAAACCGTGTCGCTACATTTATTGGCGATCTCGTTTGGACAGAAGGTGGAGGAGATTATGAACACGGTGAAAGTGCGAAGTAACGCTCTCGATGAACTTACGGCACTTGGGTTTGGGAGCTAGACACAGCGGTATACCGGAAATGTTGATTTTTTTTGACGCATTTACCAGCCTGTGGAGGGGGGATCCAGTTATAGAGAACTTTAAGAGGTGTGGCCCTCAGAAGGATACTGTAGGACTCGCATGACCATACGCGCTCAACACGAGGCCGATAACTGAACACGAGAGGACAACCGAAGTAGAGAGACAGTCAGAATCTATTGTGACAAAAGGATGTAGCATAACTTATGGCATCGTTAGTGAGACGACTGCCAAGTTCTAGACAGGCTTGTGCTCCGTGGTAGATGTCGTCTGAAGAGATGAGTCACTGTTGACGGCCAGCCTTCTGAGAATCCACGAGATCTTGCTGTTCATCGTCCTACCTGGGTGCCGCGTGCCACCTTCACGACTAGGTTAGGTTGTGATCTCGACTGGTCGGGATCTAGCTGAATCGGCCTGAGTGATGATGATGCAGAGCGCACGATCTGCGCTGTAGTGTTGCTCTGTTCCCGGACCATACGAAGCACCTAAGACCACGATCGATGCAACTATCCAATGATTAGTTGCATGGCACTTACCTTCCTCAAACTAGATCCTGTACCTTCAACATTCAATGCAACATGATTGGCTATGTTACCGAGAATATCCTTATCTCGCTCTAGGTAGAGCGTACTTCAATATTCAACACTATCCTATCTACTACCCGTGAAAAAGTCCAAGTCGCCCCGCTGTGATTTCTTATTGATAACTTCAATTACGCCAATAACCCTCCTCCGTGTATCGAATATCGGGATCTTGAAAGTCCGTATGGACAGTGATGAACAATAGACAGTAATCTTACACACATGACAGATCGGACCGGCTTGCCAGTGCCTCTGTAGTTCTCATGACGTTGAGGATCGTACAAATCACCGGCTTCTCTCACATCATCAGCAATGAATGGCTTCCCTGTTCGAGCAACATAACCCATGATGCCCGTGTCAATAGGCGTCGTCTCGCTGATATCAATCCCTTCACAGTACTTAGTGTAAAGTACTGGTGGCTCATCAGGGGAGGAGGAGTCGTCCATGAGCATCAACATGGCCGCCTCTAAGAAGACAGAGCTAATCATGATGAAGCCAGCATTCGCCGCTCACCAGCTTTCATGATCCTCTTCACTTCTTGCATCACATCAGCGAAGAGCCTTTCCTCCCTTTGTTGTTGCGAAAGGAGAACTCGAGAAGACTTGACAAGCATGTTGGAGGAACAGGCATGCAAAACCTAAGGCTTAAATGATATTGCCTCTGGGTGTCTATACTCCTACAGCTCTGAAGCCTTGAGGAGCATCCTCGCCGCGTAAATAAGTAGCAATATGCGAGGACATTGCAGCTAGCAGATCTTCATCCTTCTCACTGAATGTTCTACCAGAGTGACGAGACTTCGCCAGTTCTACGACCCCTACAGAGAGACCCTACACATCAGATGGAAATAGCAAAGAGCACCTAATACGTTCCCTAAGGAGTCAAAGATGGGCATGCATATAACGGCACCAGCCTCAAAGCCATGACCATGATAATTATCATGCCTGATCGAGACAGTGTAGAAGAGAGGTATCGACGCTAACGGGTGGAGCACCTTGTTTTGTCATAAAAATCAGTCTTGGAGACATCCTCGATATTGACCATCTGCCCAGTAGCAGCGACATATCCCATGATGCCTGCTTTATCCGCATCAATCGGTGACCTAGCAGTGGAACAAGGCTTGGTGATAGGACACGATAGAGTTTCTTGTCCACCTGAAAACACCCTTAGAGTCACCCGTCTCGCTGAAAAGCTCATTCTTCTCCTTGTCCACCAGCATCAACACCCCACTTTTAGCTCCAAGAATCTTACACAATTCACCAATGGTTTCATTGAATATCTCTCGCCGTTTATCTGAGACCACACTCGATCCCGAAAGTGTGAGCCGCTTTGTTGAGTAGCCGATCACTCTGTAAACGAGTGCGCTCAGCCTTGAGCGGGTCCAACCATAGTAGGGGTGCCATCCCGATAAGACACCCGAAGAAGAGCCCTGCGGCCTGCCCGAAGCTCTTAGCCATCTGATGCCAAATCCAGATAGTAGTCGAGGAAGAGGAAGAATATTACTTTGAACTTCCGACTCCTCTGTGTTTGGAGGGATACTTGTGGCACCTTGATACCACGCCTGAGGATAACACTTAACTATTGGCACAGAGCACCAGTAAGGCGGCTACAGCTCAGCTTGATGCTCTATATGAGAGCCGGCAAAAACACCGGCGAGGTCAGAAAAGGCGTTGCCTAGGCCCGCAGCAGCTAGAGTGCTGATGATGATGACAAAGACAAGTAATGATGATGATGGTGTTGTAGAGGGCTGCACCTGAATCCCATGACCACGCATAGGGAGTTATCTATTTGCTCGCCGAAGATGAGCATGAGGGAATTATCGAGGATACCAAAGCCGATGAATGGTATCTGTTACATGACGATGATGATGAGGCTTCCTCTCTCCCTTCGTGGGGGGTCTACCGCTGAACATATGAACGTCCACCTTAAAATATGATTGGCTTCATCAGGGGTCTCATGCGAGTTACTGACTCGATACTAAAAGTTGATACCACACTTCCAGCTGAAATACGCACCCCGCTTCCTCTCACATTCCGCATCCACTGCAAAGTTTTATCGTCAATTGTATTAGACTCTGCAAGGTCCTTGGCTACCTACAGGTATGATGTATTATGTCCAGGGTAGCAGCGTACTAGGTTCAAATCATTCCGGGCCAAGGCCAAGAATTCACTGATATCCTCCACTTTTGATACACCACTAGAGGTGGACGACGGCGCGCTCGACTTTGAAGGGATTCCACAGAAGTGCCTCGGCGGCGTTCCACATACCACACCGGGCGCATAAACCGATTGAGGTGGTGCCCGTATAGATTGGTAACTCTGGTGTGTCATCACACTCAATCGCCGTAATAGCATACACCGATTCGAGATGCCTACACGTAGGCTGAGTGGTGACAATATCAACATCAACTATACCTTTCAGAAATCTTTTTGGCGGATTAGGCTACCGATTAAGCGGATAAGGAGGTCACCTTCGCGGATAGGGACATCAATTTAGCGATGAGAGTCGAATAGGGAAATCAATTTCGCGAATAAAGACATCAATTTCATGATTAAGGAATGCAATTTCACAAACAAGGACATCGATTTCGGGTTAGAGTTCCATCTACA